AAATCTTCCCCCTCCCTCCCCACCACCCAAATCCCACCCCTCCCCATCCACCCCTTGCCCCCCTGCCCCCTCCAAACCCCCCCTCCAAACCCCCCCTCCAAACCCCCCTCCAAACCCCCCCTCCAAACCCCCCCTCCAAACCCCCCCTCCAAACCCCCCTCCCCACTCCAAACCCCCCTCCCCACTCCAAACCCCCCCTCCAAACCCCCCTCCCCACTCCAAACCCCCCTCCAAACCCCCCTCCTCCACCCAATTCCCCACCGACCCCCTTCCGAACGAGACCGGCTCGTCACGTGGTACTAACCCCCTCCTCTTACCCCCCCCCTCCCCCCAAACCCCTCCCTCCCGTAACGTCATTCCAAACCGCGTGTTTAAAAGGGTGTCCCCACGTGTTTGGGGGTCATTGCGAAGCGCGGTTTGTTGGAAGTAGTACGCCTGGCCCATAGGGGTCGGGGCTACACCCGGTCGTGGGTCGCGTGTCCGCCAGGAGAGCGGTGGGGTTTGCTGCACTGCCCGTCCTCTTGTTGCCTGACCACGCAGACCCGCAGCCTATAACAACCATTCATGGTCGCCACCCAAACAAGTAGTCATCCCTACGTCAAGCCTTTTTACGCTTTCTGAGCCTTTGTAAGATCGTTAATCAAGAATTCCCTTTTTGTTGAGGATATCTAGACCACGTCACAAGCTGCCCCCCCTCCCCCCCATCAAGCCAACAATTCCGAAAGTCCCTTGCAATGAGAAATTTTGTGGCAACCATGCAGTGATTCACTGCACCAGATTTTGGTTTAACCATCAAGATTTAGTCGTGATATGATTCATAAATCGATATTTTTTTAGTTTTCGGTTTATATTGTAATAATTGGTTTAAGAAAATACGTTGAAAGATGTATTTAATAGCTTTTGGTTGCTGCAATTTTCCTGTCGGACATTTAAATGTGTTGTCGATGTCAGTCCAACAGCCAAACATAAACAACATCGAGCATTGCTAAGAGTAGGAGGCAGACACGTCCAAAACCTTCCTGTATGGTAGCCTTGATTACTGCGATTTCAAATCTGTAAAGGAGTTAAAATTAAGATGGGAAACCCCATCACAACAGGAGGCTTTATTTGAGGCCAGACAAGGAAAAGTGTGTTGCATTATTCAAAGTGTGTTGACTGTCATAGACATCCTATATGAGAGAGAGAAAAAAATAACTTAGAAACCCAGAAAGTGTAGCATAAAGAAGTGCGTTGTTTTGTTTTACTTTGTGGGAGGCAATTGGGATTCTCTTGCAGACCAAATATTCTGTAGTGACCTCTACCCACGAGTCCTCAGCTGATTTAGTTTACTTAATTACAGCCATACTTTAAGGCACATTAAGGGGGGATGGTAGAGTGTTTTCACCCTGAACTATGATCTCAGTGACGTGATTTAAATTCCCATCCACTGCAAATATCAGTTGCAAGTGATGTCTAAACTGGTCTTGGCTCCCTGGCCCTTCAACAACCCGTATTGTTCTTCTTCTTGGTTCTTTCGGTAAAGTCACGTAGAAGGGAAGTAATAAAATAATAAAAATAAAACATAATAAAACAATTCTCACGACGTTTCGGCCACAACAGCAAGCAGCCGTCCTCAGGTGAAAACCAGGTCCGTCGAGGCGACAGAGTCTGAACCCGTATTGACCAGCATGGTGAAGTATGATCAAACAATGTTCATCAACGACATGGCGTGAGGAGGCCTTTATTCAGCAATGGATTGTGTATGTTTATTAAGGCACAATAACATAAGATTAAGCTACAAGTATCAGGTGCATGGATAATATACATTTGTTGAGAACGCGTGAAGCTACTTCTATTGCAGCCAGGTGCAGGACTGCGTGTCTGTATATCTGTGTTACTTTCCTCAAGAGTCCGCATTGCTAAAGGTGGATCTTTGTGTGACAGGTACAGCTGTGGGCCCACAGTCTACGACCACGCTCACCTGGGACACGCATGGTAGTGCCTCTCACTGAAACATTTCTCACCTTTCTCTATGTCACAAGCTTTTTCCTATCTGCATTGTAAAGATAAATAAAGTTCATGTTGGAACTCTCACAGCGAGAGAGCAGTCTATCATCATCACCCATTTTCGAACCGATGCATCCACACTATAGGGGCCCAAATTTGGTATGCCCTGCATAGAGAGTTTAGTGCAAGTCAATCGGACCAAAATGTTAAATTTCCAGAACTTGAATAAATTGAATTTAACGTGATGCATTTTCTGTGTGCAGTCATTGGTGACCAGGCCACACTTGAGAAACCAGTTTAGTTACAGGTGGCTTGAGCCCAAATTCAAATCTAGGATCTGTCCTGGTTCAATGCCCTGATGTTAACGTCTCCATTACAGGTTTTCCATTAGAGGTAATGACCCCAATTATAGGAATTAAAAAAAAATTGTTTAAAATGTACTGCATACAAAATGCAATACACAAAAAAGTATAGTTGTAAATTGTTGTCCTCACCTTGACTGTTTATACATTGTTTCTAGGAGATATGCACATATACCCATGAAATATTTTCCAATACTGTTCTGTTCAGATCTATGACACTTGTTGGAGCATGAAGGAAACTAAAACAGTCCATATCTGCATCTTCCATATAAAACATGTTTTTTTTACCATCAGGGGGAGATGAACATTAGTTCTTTGGTTGTCATCATTGAAAAACATTCTCTGTGCAGAAGATGGCCACAACTCAATTACCCTTGGTGCTAACAATAGGTTTGGTAGTAGGTTCAATACAAGGGTGCATGCGCACATTCAGTCCTGCTTGTGGAGGTTTTAACTTTTGGGACATGTTCCCCATGCAGCTCGTACGTGCGTTTTGACATCATCCGGAGAATCCTCACCGCTGTATTCGACGTCGATGTCATCATGGCGATGGTCATAACGGACATCGATGACAAGATCATCAAGCGCGCGCGGGAGGTGTGTGGGCATGCGCGATTTATGGGAAGGGCCTGCCTGCCTTCGCTCGTCACGACATGCTGAGCTGCATAACTGATTCGGCTGGTCGAGACCACTGCACAGTTGTCAAAAAACATAAAAGTTGACAAACACACCTGGTCTGGTCGGCACAGTTAGTTATTTTTCACGCTTTTTATTAACTCACTCTGTTGTATCCTCAAATCTTGTAACTCAATTTTTACCCACTTTCCAATGTGGTATCGACTGCAAACTTGGTATACTTATGTCATACTGATGACAATACTATATTCTATCATAAAAATTTAAAACATTTAAAACATTTTTTTTTAATGTTATGTTTCGGCTTGGGTCTAATTGTCCACGGTCAACTGACGTTGGCTGTAATTGGCCACGGTCCCTTACGTGATGGCAAGCTTCAGGGCCACTTTCTGAAGTCGTGGAGTTCTTCCATTACTAGTACGGTACATTTCATTAAAGCGTGTTTAAAAAAAAGTTTTTTTTTTATATTTCTTATTTATCACACGTTCAAATGTTTTGACCTCGTGTTGAACTCATGTTATTGGCACTTGGCAGGAGTACCTTAATAGTGGGTGGGGTTGGCAGATGAGTAGGGGGCGCCCATGATTACTAGGCGGGGCTGATGTCAGAATGAGCTGAGATGCTCAATGTGGGTGGGTGCAGTGATTGAGTGGGCATGGTTATGTAAAAGTACTCGCGGCTGATGGAGGAAGCAGCTGCTATCTTGCAACGTATCCTGGTTGGGCCTCTCAGAAATGTGGTAGTTTTAAAGATCTCCCTTTCATAGTGCGACTAATTTGCTGTAATTTGTTTTGTGGTGTGCAGCTGGACATGACACCGGACGTCTTAGCTCGAATGTACGAGGAAGACTTCAAGCAGGATATGGCTTCTCTCAACGTAAGATGCTTGGATGAGCCTGTCCTTGTGTCTCACAGCTGATGGATCGCATATGTAAATGTCGGTTTTATTATCGTATATTGTTGATAATTGCATATGCCAGAGTGTCTAGAGATTGGAGTAGAGACAAACGCTTTAATTAATAATGGAATTTGTTTAAAATTTGAGATATACTTAATCTGAAGCAAAGAATACTAAAATATTTCGATTTAAAGCTTTCGGGACTGCAGGGATTCATCTTCTTGGTTCTTTTGGTAAAGTCACGTAGAAGGGAAGTAATAAAACGCTGTCGCCTCGAACAGACCTGATTTTCACCTGAGGACGGTTGCTTGCGTTGTGGCTTAAACGTCGTGAGAATTATTTTATTATGTTTTATTTTTATTATTTTATTACTTCCCTTCTACGTGACTTTACCGAAAGAACCAAGAAGATGAATACTAAAATAGTCTTAAATAAAGCCTTGACTGGTGGTCAGTGTAAGCAGTGCAGATATACATATAAATCAACTTCCATATATAAAGGGCACCAAAGGGAAGGTGAGTGACCACTGCTTCCAGTTAACAGAGGTTGACTGGGTATTGATATACATTTTACAGCCAACCTCTTCACTTGCTCCAAGGGGCATTGTTTAGTCATTCATTCAATGATGTAGACTCCGGTCACACATCATCCCTTAAACACTGAGCTGCTTTTGGAGTGGAACGATGTGTACGTGCCTGTCTGTGTGTGTGCGTGGTCCAGGTGCTGCCACCCGCCGTGTACATGCGCGTGACCGACAATGTGGGGTCCATCGTGAGCTTCATCGAGCGCATCGTGGCGAAGGGCCACGCGTACGTCACACCGTCAGGTGAGAACACGCGCACGCAAACACACGGACCGCGTTTAGAAGCACAACACTTGTGCTCAATAAAAATAAGCGTGGTGTAGGTTTTGTCTGCGTTTAGTACGTATGAATTTCAATAAGAGCAGTGGTTATTGCAAGGCGATTTGAACCCAGCGACATGAGCTTTATTTTTGCCTGCGGCTAACAGTGGTGCGCTATATCTGATTCAATCTACGGTTCCCCCATTCAACAACCAGTGCGGTGAAGTATGGTCAGCAACCCCATGATTGAGGTATCGTGATGAGGTCTTCATCCAAAAGTCAATGGACACGGCTGCATTTTTTAATTACAATTTATTATTCATCTGAAAATGCCAAACAAAAAACGGAAAATGCCAAAGGCATTAAAACGCCTAACAAAAGGTAGAATACATAAAACTCAGCAAGATGAACAAATATCTCGGTTTAATAAACACGTAGGGGTTCGCGACAAACATCCATAATCGTTTTTTTAGTTTAGATCGTGTAAATATAAGTGTTGTTAGACCTGCCACTTCCTGACACAGCCAATTAGTAAGGTTTGTCATGTAAAAAAAAACATGCCAATTAGGTTCTAGTTCAGCACACCGGTGTGTTGGAGAGTACCAAAATTGTTAATGTTGTGGGTTTACTCTCCAACGCACAAGTGTGCTGAAATAGTAACTCATTGGAACGTTTTGTTTACGTGACAAACCTTACTAATTGGCTGTGGGTGGTGGCGGGTTTAACGACACATTTATATTTACGCACTCTAACCCAAAAAAAAAAACTCTTGTGGAAACAAATCTAAATTAGAGACCTCATATTGCCTGTTAAGGGAAGTAAGTAGGCTTGGGCAGGATACATTGCTTGAAAGGATAATTGCGGACATAGGAGACTGTAGACATTAGCAGGTAAAGGAGGAAACTCGCCCAAGTGGATGACCATCATGGAGGTGGAGCGATGAGATTATCGGTTAACGTGCCGGAGTGAGATGGGTTGTGGCATCCTAAGACCACAAGGCATGGTGTCGGTGTGGGGACACCTTCATCCAGCAGTCAGAATCGGAATATTTATTTATACTGGAGGAATCCGATGAGCTATAAAGCCCCTTTTCACAGATTTCCAATAGGGGCAGGTCAGAACGTTACAATGATAAATAATAATGAAAAAACACTTTAGGAGTGCAAATTGTATACAATGTAAACAAACCACTTAAAAAATATACTAATAAAACGAAGCTTTTTTTTTTACAAATTAAGGCCCACTGGATAAGTCATGGGAGCTGCTGCTGCAAATGACGTACAATTACTATACTCAACTATTTATATGTGTACTTATAATATCCGCGTATAATATTCAAGATCACGACTGCATTATAGTTAGCCAGGTCTCTGAAAAGACTAAGAAATATATTTTATTATTATTTATGTTTTGCTACTTTTTACGTTGAATGTTTTCAGGTTAGTTGCGATTGTGCATGCCTATAGTCAGCATTTTGGAGTCAAGTGTTGGTGGATCATAGTTTTGTGAAACTCTGAAACCCACTTGGTTGTTGACCTTGAAGTATTATTTGTTATTATGCATGGCAATTCTCCACATACTCTGGTTTTGTTGAAAAAACACTCATCAAAAAGCAATTGATCAAACGTTCGATTGCGGGACACTTGAATGAGCGACTTTTGTGGATACATAAATGACCGCTATCTTTTGAATGATATAGTTAAAATTAAAGTAAAAAAAATATTTATTCTTTGGTTCTTTCAGTAAAGTCACGTAGATATAAAATAAAATAAATAATAAATAATAAAATAAAAACCAAAAACTCACGACGCCTGATGACGACCGCTTGTGTTGCGATCGAAATGCCGTGAGTAAAAAAAATATCTATTATTTTCTTTCTAAGTGACTTTACCGAAGAACCAAAGAATATTAATTCCTGCAGTCACGGAAAGTTTTAAGTAAACTGAGAAGAATGAAGAATGTAATATTTCTTCTTGCTCGCCTTGTTTAGTCAATAAGGTGTAAAGTAGTTGTGAGTCTCTTAACCGTTCCACGTGGTGGAAAGGGATTTTCTCAGCCCAGCGCGAACTAAGTTATGTTGAGTAATTCGATGAGTGCAACTGTGTGGTTTTAGTTGAACGCAGTATCTCTGAGCTGCTCGTTAACAGACACTTAAGTATCTTTACTATTTCGCAAATAATACACATTTGCTGTTATTTGTGTTAGTCATCTGGCAGGTCGTGTATGAAAGATAAAGTGTGGGTAGTCCCACCTCTTCCAAGACATGGCCAGTGTGGAAGAGTTGGCCAAATACCCTCTTAAAAAGGCGATCTTGAGCTCCCTCTAGTGAAGGCCCTTCTGCCGACAGTGGCGTGAGTAAGTAATTGCAAGGGTGCAGCGCCTAGACAATTTGTAAGTGAATAATCTTTCATTGAGCTGTTTATACCTTTGTTTTGCGCAGGTAACTGTGTACTTTGACGTGGAGTCGATTGGGGAGCGCTACGGACGGCTACGGAGGGTTCTCACAGACGTCACACCCGAGGCAGGTAAAGTTGTGTCAAATTGGTTTGTTCATCCCTTGTCGTCGGTGTTGGGGTCCAATTTTCATAGAGCGTGTGGTGTTCTCGTGCATCCACAGAGGAGGGCGAGAAACGTGGCATGAGAGACTTTGCGCTGTGGAAAGCGGCGAAGACGTCCGAGCCATCCTGGGACTCGCCGTGGGGGCCGGGCCGACCTGGGTGGCACATCGAGTGCTCGGCCATCGCTAGGTCTGGTTTGAATCGCACCCGATGGTCCCGCGCATCGTCTCACTCGCCAATTAAACGAACCTGCAGACACGGTCAGAGCTCGGCACCGTCTTTGGCAGTGGAATAGCTATGGAGTGTGCAGATAACGCAACTGAACCGGTGCCCACGGGCTGGATGAGCCCAGGTGCCGGGTGATGGAGAGAAATTCAAAAGGCTCTATTTTGTTCCTTGCACCAGCGCCCATGCCAACGATACTATGTCTTTGACTAATTTTTTTATTGCTTTTTTTTTGGACATTCTCATATTTTAAAATGTCAATAACGTGTTTTTTTTCATCAGAAATTGTTTAAAAATGTTATATAAAACATTTGGTTCAATTGAAGGATTTCATTTGTTTAATTAGTGGTGCAGTGGCTTTTATGATTGGTATGGCCCTTGGCGCAAATAATTCAATGTAGCCCCATGCCCAATTTTCTTTTTTGTAGCTCAGCACTTGGGCCTGGTGGACACTCGATATCTACAGGCAGTAGTGGTGAATGTTTAGGGGCACAGAGCGAATGTGAGTAGTATTGATGGTAAATTTCATTGTGTTGAATGGAGGAGGTTCACAATAGGCCTGTGAATTTAACACATTATTGTAGACCGTTTGGAAATTGTTCTTTATTAATAAGTGTTAAATTTATTGTTCAGCCTACTTTAAAGTGAGTTTGTTTTTGAGAAAATTTTGATTTGAAGCTTTCGTGACTGCAGGAATCCATACTCTTTGGTTCTTTCGGTAAAGTCACGTAGATAGAAAATTAATAGATCACGACGTTTCGATCGCAACACAAGCAAGCGTCATCAGGTGAGACAAACACATCAGGAGAACGGCTGACGCAGTTGTTGCGATCGAAACGTCGTGATCTGTTAATTTATATCTACGTGACTTTACCGAAGAACCAAAGAGTATGAGAAAAAGTTGATTAAACTATACCATAAGGCGTGAGTGAGAGAGAAGTGCTGTGTGTGCATGGACCAGCATCGTGTTGACTTACGGTCCTTGCCCCGCAAATCCCTCTTGTTGCGAATCGGCAATGGGCATGGTAGACAAGCTCCTTGAGTGAGGTGGTGCGACATGGCAGTGGGACTCACGTGCCAGATGACGGTTGTTATCTTTGCACAGCCTGGTGTTTGGGAGCCAGCTCGACATCCACACGGGAGGCATCGACCTGGAGTTCCCGCACCATGAGAATGAGATAGCTCAGAGTGAGGCGTATCACGGCTGCGAGCAGTGGGCCAACTACTTCATGCACTCCGGTACACGCGACTTCTGTCATCAGCACATTACAGCGCTTTTAATTAAACCGCTGTTTTTGGAAAACGTGAACGTAAGTGATCTTTATCGTTATAATCGTCAGCCATGATTAGTTCACTGTTGGGAAAAGGCCTCCTCCCTGTCGTGATCCTGTAAAATCGAGTAGTGGCGATGAATGCGTGAAATGTCACACTTTTGGAGGAAATTTTGGTGGATCACAGGTTTGTGAAATTAGCATGGTTGGTTACGTGTGGTGTGAAATAAGTTAAACATATACAGTAAAACCTTGGTTTGCGAGTGTTTTGCAAGACGAGCTAAAATTTTAAAGAAATATGAATTTGATAAACGAGCGAGGTTTTGCAATACGAGTAGTACGTATACGCTTTGTCTGCCGAGCGTCACGTGATCACAACTGATACACAAGTGCTTTGGATTACAAACACGTTTCCGGAATGAATTCTGCTCGAAATCCAAGGTTTTACTGTATACATACATACCAATACATACCAACATACAAAAATCCGCTGTACTGCAAAATGGCCAGGAGGTGGAATTGCAGGAAGTGGGTTCATAAAATACATCTGTTCTGACTTTTCTTCTTCTCCTTATTGGCAAGGGAGTTTTCTGTGGATGTTCCAGTTTCCTTCAAAAATGGATTCTGCTCATACATCCTAAATCAGGGCCCTCTTGAAAGTCTTGAGACTTGGTGAGGCTTTCCTGAATAAATAACAACATCAATATGTGTTTGAATGTGTGGTGTTGTGGCCTTCCACCTCCACAGGACATCTGCACCTAAAGGGCAGCGAGGAGAAAATGTCAAAGTCTCTCAAGAACTTTATCACCGTCAAGGTAGATTGACCCTTGTGGGCTAGTTTCTTTACTCAGTGCGAGCGTTTACATTTAAACTTGCCTGCCACATTACCAGTACTTGACACATAGTTGGTTCAGCGCCTATTGCAAATATTTTATTTGTAATCACGTCACTCATTGCTTATGTGTATCACAAAAGTAGGTGCAATCCTTTAAGCCTTTTTACTTTAAGTGTGTTTTTGTTAATTGGTTAACCACAAACTGTTTCTCAGAAAGTGGTTGTTTTATTGCAAAGCTACTTAGTTTTTACACAGAAGACAAAGGGCTTGCTGGGGATCGTGGGATTCCAAAGCCAGTCAGGCGTAGTAACTCACGCACGAGCGCGCATGGAAAATTGGAATTAGTTCAGCGTGCACATGCATTATAGTTTTTTAATAAACGTGGCGTTTTTTTCTGAGTAGGATAATGCCATGGTTTTTTTTCTGCTGAATTGGTAGCGTGGGGTTGGGGATGTTCGAGTTGGATCGTAGCGTGGCATGGGGAGGAAAGCCTCCCACTTGGTTATACGATGCAGCTCGCTGACGGACGTGGTATTATCCTCGTGGTTGAATCATTGTTTGGCAGCGTTGTCTGCCCTGCGCGCTCTCTCTCTTGCCGTCTCACTGCCTCGCTCTTTCTCGCCCTCTTGGTTTGCGTGTGATGATTTCCAGGAGTTCCTTCAGAATAACACGGCCAATCACTTCCGCATGTTCTGTCTGATGTCCAGATACCGTTCCCGTGAGTTTATTGATTTTTTAAACATATACTTTAAACATACACACACACAAGTATCTGACAATTGTTAAAACTGAAAATGCACATGCATAAATACACAATTGTATATATTTACAGTATACATATATGCTCATGCCTAACATGTATGTTGAACTTATTTTGCACCGTACGTAGCCAACCATGTTAATCGGAGGTGCATAGTACTTGAGTATGTTGTACATAATTACGAGCCTGTTTAAAGTAGTAGCAATGTTAATATTGCTGATGTTGGAAACATTTCACTTGTTAATTGGTTTTGTTTTGCATAACTTGGGCTTTCAGTGCGAACTTGGCAGTCGTGCTTGAGTAATGCATATCTGAAGGGCTGTCAGTTTAGTTTGGAGATGGCACAGTGTACTGTTTGCTATCAATGCTAGCTTTCCAAATGCATATTTTCCAAAAGTGATTGTGCCTTCAGTATTTTATGTTGCCAGAGCATTATGCATTCTTGCCAATAGTATTCAATCATGAAGTGGATTTGTCACGCGTTGATGAAACCGGCTGCACTCGTTGGTGCCAGTAGGATTCTGAAGACCAAAAATCAGTCGACATTTATCGTGTTTCTTAGAAATAAGACGTGTTATTATTCTAAGAAGGAGATGGTTCCACTGTGTAATAGTCCACACACCGGACTTGCAATCCACTGGTCGCTGGATTCTAAAATACCCCTCGCCAGCAGTATAAAATATGTACACCCCAGCTGAATTAGATCTCGTGTGTTGGGGTAAAAAGTGTGGGTACTCGAGTTAAAAACGTCTGGCAAGCATGGAAGAGTAGGTGAAATTGCCTGTTATAGGGGCTCTAGAGCTCCCTCATGTTCAGAATCAGAATCTTTGTTTAGGCTGGAGGAGGAATCTGATGAGCTATGAAGCTCTTTCACACATGTCCAGTATGGGCGTCGGGTCAGCAATTTGAGGCCCTTCTGCTAGCAGTGGTTTGAGCGAGAAATTGCAGGGCTGGACCTTTGCCTTTTTTGTTGTTCTAATAAAACACAGACACATTATAACCGAAGTACTGTAACAGATATTTAGCAGTTTTTTTCATACAATAAATTCAGATCGCTTCTTAAATTTGTACTTTTGTTATCCATATATTTTAAAGAACACTTTTCACATTTTCTATTACCGATCAATTGATCTCCTTATCAATATTCGCTGAGTGTAATGAAGTCTAAGGTTATGTTTTTGAGCTGCAAAATCCACTTCCATTGTGAGTGAAGTGGTTGAGTGAATAAAGGTTGCTGTGGTTGTTGACTGGATTCTGCTAAAACTTATTGAGTTGGCACAGTGGGGAGCAGTTTTTAGTTATTTTTCCCAGCTTTATTCCGATTTTTCTCTTCGTATTCCGCCATGGGACAAAGTATCCATTTGGTTCTCTCGGAGAGTTGTACAAACCTTCTTCGTGTTCGAGAATGGCCCACGGAAGCGAATATCACAGAGCTCCCTCTAAGATCCTTGTAAATGACCTCTGTTCTGCACAGTAGAGGGCAGCACTCTCCTACTATTTCTGACAGAGTAATGTTAGCAGATCTGGAGTTTAGAGACATTTAATGTGTAACCAAATGTAAGATAATGGGTTTTTTGTGCAGTCATTGGTGATCAGGCTGAGAGCATCGACGTCTGATACACTTGAGAACCTGGTTTATGTGGGGAGCATAGTTGTAACTGCTGCTGCCAGTCTCCTCTATCTGCTACCCTATAACACCTTTTTTGAAGTCCAAGTCCTGTCTCTTACGACCTCGCCTGGCACAGACACTGCATTTACTTAACTGTATCTTGGTGGCGAATGACTGCTGTTATTTATTAATTCCCTTTTGACCAAACGTTTATGCTACATACTGATGTTGTAGATCTGCTGCTGTTGCTTACCCACTGATGCTGTTTCTGCTGCTTTTGTAAATGCTGTTACTTCTGATACTGTTACTGATACTTTTGCTGCTGCGACTACTGCTACTGTTGCGGTGATGTATGTTGAACTTCTTTTGCATCGTACGTAGCCAACTAACCGCGCTAATCGGAGGTGCTGGCTACTGTTGCTGCTTTTGTCCGTGGTGGTGGTGTCACAACAGCCGTGGAGTACAGCGAGGACAGCGTGCGAGCGGCGGTGGACGTGCTGGACTCGCTGTTCTCGTTCCTGTCGGACGCGCGCGCCTACGTTGCCGGCACTCTGCACACGCGGCCCATCGACGAGGCTTTCCTCTGGGAGAGGTACCGCCTCCACGCCCCACACCTCAGAGCGAAGCTGGCCCTACACTCGCAGCGTGCTTAACGCTACCTGAGCCACGCTTGATATGTTTGGCCATGTCTTCTTGGAGCAGTTTTTTTATTGTGTTTGGGAAGCAACTGGATTTCTTGGAGAATACCCACTTTGTAATATATTAAACTTGTGCTGGGTTCTCAAACTGCCAGGTGTAGTGGCACAGACCCTGTCGTCTAGCGCTTTTGGAGGCAAGAGTTGGTGGCCAACACAGAGTAGTGAAACTCTAGAAGTCACTGGGCTGTAAGGTGGCCAGTAGATGGAAGTTTTGCAAAAGGGTTCATGAGCCTGTCTGTATGTTTCTTCGAGTGTCATCCCTTTACATGCATAAGCTTTCTCCGGATACTCTGGTTTACTCCCTCATGCAAGGCACTCCTTAAAAAGGCAGCTGAGCAGGGTGACTTTGGACGTTTGTCCTGCTTCTCTTAAGTCCTTTTATAAGTTGCTTTTCTTGAGCTATTTGAGACTTTGGAAATTACACCTAAGTCTTAAGAATTCTAAACATGGTCGAGTGTGACTTTGGTAACTTGCAGCGATGCCCAGTCCTTTAATACACTATTACGGAAAATGTATATTTTTCTTTGTGTATTAAATCTAATGGTTATTCGTGGTAGTAGTGTTATTGGGCATGTTTTTGCGTCTTAACATGTGTACCGCTGTTTTTTTGCATGATGCGTATCGTGTAATCGTTTCGCACGCTACACCACTGGCGTTTTCTTGCGGAAGATTCTCTGTTTTTTTAACGATAGCGTAAAATCGGATTTTTGAATCACAGTTTCGTAAAAAGAACATGTATGAGTGAGGTGTGATTTTATGCATTTCACAACAATATCTTCGACTAGATAGAAACCTTATATTTGGAATTAATGTGTGGACGAAGAAGATTGACATAAATATGAGATCCCTGCCCGAATATATGTCTGCATACGGATTGTTTAATAAAACAGTTCATGAATTAGGTAAAGTTGATTGATTGCCTGCATGTCGCATGAATGAGTGCAGAGATAAATAAGTACATTTTCCAGTTGGTGCCTAAAAATATTTTCTAAACCACAACAGCAAACTACTGGAAGTTCTGACATTTGTCAAAATTATGAGTGCATGTGCAGCATATTCGATGTCACCTGTGGGAATTGTAATTACTGCACGCGCATGACTTGGTGGTTGGTGTGTTTGTCACTGCGCCAGTTTACCAGGGGTTGGATGAATTGAGTCCCATAGCTCTGATGATACTTGATGTTTCCGAATTCTACCGTGTACTCTGGAGCATCGTCAGGCAAGGCATTTAACTTTGGTGGCTTATCAACTCATTTGAAAAAAACGCGTCATTTAATATTACGCACGGTGGCCTTAAATTAATGTTCCTGTGTCACGAGACGTATTCTACTGAACGGAGTTCATGGGTGATTCTATTTCCTGAGGCTCGTAGCAGTGTCATCCAAACATCTGGTTGCGCTTTCACCGCATTTTGTGACTTCTCGGGAAAATGTGGGTCCGCTGCACGCTGGGAGGCGGAACAGAAATGAAAAGTTAATTCCTCGGTAAAGCCCATTGAGCTCGACAGATCCCTGTCAAGGATAACTCGGCCAGAGCACAACAGCGGCAGCAAAGTCTTACTTATTACAAGTTATTCATACTTAAAAAAAAGTAAATTTTCACAATATCATAAATGTTAACATTTCCACAGATAACTACATTTACATTTGATACTTTGTCATGATCTCATCGGGGTCTGTTTAAATGAGTACAGAGATGGCAAAGTGCATCAAGGCACCGATTGCTTTGCGCCGCTGGGCGGGCCAAGCAGTGGTTGCTTGATGGCTTTTGTTTTTGTGTCTACTTTAGTGCATGAGCTGGAGTGAGCTTTATTAGAATACAAAGGCAATGCCGAATATTGAGAAGGGAGTGATGCTCACAGCATTCCGCTCAGCCGTGGTTCGTCTCTGACTTGGCTGGAAATTGAATTTGGTTTGTTTAGTGTTGGCAATAATGGAAATTTGAAGTTATTAGGAGGACCGTTCTCGCATTAATTTGGGCACATAAACGAGTGTCACTGTGCAGTGTCATATTGTAAGTTGTATTTATTTATTTTGGTAGTTTTATTTCCACCAAGGTGTGGGATTATAATGAAACAGAGTGCATTACAGAGATTTCCTCAAATCCTGGAATAGCAGCGGGGCACTGTTCCGGAAATTCAATGTTATGTTATTTTGTTTGTGGCTGCATCTTCATTTCATAATTGTATTTTTGTTGTCATTTAATTTATTCAAAGGTTATGAAAAGGACATTTCCAGTGTTGGTAGCACAAATTGCTTCCAGTAACACAGGACGAGCAGTAATACATCTAAATAATAACGGTGTGTTCCCATTTTCCTTTTGCTTAAAGGCAAAGTATGGTTCAGTCTAATGAAAGAGTTAAGTGAGGATAATTTACCACTGGTTTTTCAAGCATATCCTTTCAGCTGTTGCCAGTAGTGGGGACTAGAAAGCACAACATCCATGTTGTCCAGGTCTCCCTTGTAGGAGACACACCTGCTTGCACTGGCCCCTCACCTGGTTTTAATCAGAGCATTGTTTTGTTAAGGCGTCACAGTTTAACATGGAGTACTGGGCTTGGTGTCAGTCATGTCGGTGATGATAGTGTAAGCATCAGCGGTGATGGTGACCGTGAAGGTAGTTGTGTTGTATGTCAATAAGGGTGATGGTGTCCGCGGTGACGCTGATATGTTGGTGGCTGCGTTAGTGTCACTGGTGATGGTGCTGGTGATCATGACTGTGCTGCTCGTGATGGTATTGACGTTGTAGATAAGCGGCCGTGTTAGCCTGACTGACCGTGTGTTGCATGTGTCCCGTGCAGGCTGGCGGAGGCACGGACCGCGGTGCGGGCGGCACTGGCTGACGACATGGATACACCGCGCGCCATCAGTGCCCTCATCACGCTGGTGCAGCACGCGCACAGGCAGATGCAGACAGCCAGCCCGGTAATCACATCGACTTGCCTACCAGCAACCCAGTGACCAGTAAGCACATCCCTGTGACTTAACAGTAGCCAATTCACCTACTCGCAGTGGTCTTGATTCAGCAATAGCAGTGCACGTGCTAAGGACGAGCTCAAATCCGAAGCGAGCACTGGTGAGCTGGGTTATGTCTGGATTGTGTTTAGATTCTTTTGTGGATTTTATTTGGAGTGTTCCCAAACTATATCCAGATTCTTTCTGGATTGTTACCGGATTTCTTCTGGTGTAATTGGGATTGTGTCTAGATATTATTATAGGATCCTTATGGCGGTACCCTGGGGTACCAAATAATACAAAATGGCCGAGGCAATGAAATATTTTATTTCTGGGACACTATTTTTCCAGGGGTGTACTTAACTCCGTGACTGGGGTGCCAATCAATCCGAAATCGGTGCCACTCCGCGATGTCGAAACGCAGCGAGGACGATTACGCTAAAACCCTGAACGCTCGTATGCACCACAGTGCATCGTGTACAGCTCGTCGAGATGAATATTGCCGCATCGCTGACCATCAACAATCTAAAAATGACTGCATCACGGACATTATGCGAGAGCCGGGGTACTATATGTTTCTGGAGTGATTTTACGTAGTTTTTTTCATTCGGTCAGAATTGTTCTGGATTGCATTTGGATTACATATGGATTGTTTCTGGTTTGTATCAGGACAGAATCAGGATGGTTTCTGTCCTTCGTAAATCCAGATTGTGCTTGGATTGTTTTTGTATTGTTTCTTTATTGTGTCCAGATTGTTTTTGTACTTTTCCTAAGTTTATATACTGTTTCAGGAACGTTTTCCAGATGGTATCTGGATTATTTTCAGATTGGATGATGTCACCGCTCTGTCCTGCAGGTGGTGGGGGCAGTACGGAGCCCCAGCGTGCTGGGCGCAATCGCTGCGTTCATCGAGCGGATGATGGAGACGTGGGGACTCCAGCTCCATGACGCACAGGTGCCACAATCACCCCCAATACACAGCTCTTGAATTCTCTTTCACTCTTGAGTGTTGGGGACTATAACATACAGCGGAGATTTAACCACAAATTTGTCATTAAATCCTCATTTTTGCAATGTGTGTACTTGGCCGATTTTATCATCTGACACAATTTTTAACAAACAAATGGTCACTTTATAAATGTGCTGTTGTATAGGTCATGGCATCTTCAAGAACATGTCCTCCCTATAGGGTTGTGTGTGATGTAAAGTGCACTGTACACATTGTAAACATCATTTTGCTACCAGGTGAGGGTTTGACCCTCTCTGGAGTAGTCTTTTTGTGTGTGGGGAACAGTAGCGCAGTGGTCCGCGCACTTCAATGCCAAATCAGATACCCATGTTCGATTCATGGCCATGACCAACTTCGGTGGCGATAATCAGAACCGGTCCTGGGCATCACCTATGTCGACTCGACCTTAAATGATTACCTGGTGCGATGCATCAGTACTGGGGAGACCAAGGCAGTCGTTTGTGGTGGTGGCCATACCACCCCTCGTGCGTTGTACCATCCTTAACAGGTCCTCGCTAACAGCACTTGCCCGACAGTCTGTTAAAGGTTACATGGGGGATTGTTGTCATTCGGCAAGTGTTGTTGCTTTGGTTATCGTGCAAATTAAATGTACTCTAATTAAGCCTATGATGAAATCGTCCAGTAGCCATGCAAGGTTGAGCCTGGACCGACCGGTGACCACAATGCATAATAGGTTGTAGAGCCTTTGTAATGGGCTGCAAACGACAATACCTGAAATATGTTGAAAATGTGCTTGTATGCTCTTAAGACCCATGCTGTCCGCATTCACCAACCAGCACTGACTCGTGTAGTGAAGTATGGTCAAATAGCTCTTGCAATCCGTGAGAAGGCCATCATCCAGCAGTGGATTGGCAAAATGGGTATATGTGTACAATATTTGCGCAGCGCAGGAACCACTGCTCTACCTCTTTCTATGTAATGGTGAAATAATGGTTGATGGTGACAGTATGTTATTTGTCTGTCAGGGTGTAGAGGCTCACATACAGGACCGACATACAGTTTTTTGTAGGCATGTAATGACGTTGCATGACTTGAATCATGTGCTTGAGACTATATTATTTATACAAACTATATGCTGTTTCATACAGGCTAATGGACTAAACTGCACAAATACAACTGAAACAAAGAGAATATCATGACAGTAAAAACAGACAATACAGAATCGATTAATAAATCGCAGGACCACCCAGAATCGCCACAATTTGTCAAATCGCGGGGAGGGGATGTGGTGTGCGAGTCGTCCCATGCCCCTCTTCGTTTGTTAAACCTGTCGTCGGTGAGGTTATAAAGGTCCCTTATGAACGTTGGTGGCACCGCGGCAAGCAGGTGGCGGCGGTCGATGCGGGGCCTCTGGCGGCTGTGCTGGACCACGTGGTGGCATTCCGCAGTGAGGTGCGCGACTTCGCATTGGCGGGGGACGTCGTGCAGGAGGAGCGCCGAGGTGCCCGGGCTGAGCGTCGCGCGCTGCTGGACGCGTGCGACCGGCTGCGTGAGCGTCTCGCCTCTTGCGGCATCGAGCTCAAGGTGGGCGCCGTGACGTGAGCCGGGATTATTCTGGACTCCCAAGTGTGTGTACAGCTGCGGGGATTTAATAGATGTTGTATTAAAGTTTATGCCTTTGCAGTGACATTTAAAATGCTACCATTTATTACTGCTAGGAAACGTTGCAAATAACAAGTCGAGTGTTTCTTTCCCACCAGAGATGGGCAGTTAAATGCCTTGTAAACTGTACAGTTGGATGTGGTGGATTGTTGGTGATAAATTAAGGCAGGCAAGTATCTGTTGCACCACACAAATAATGCGTGTATATTTAATTCCCTTCTCCTATGGACCAGTCTTTTTGTTAAATATTTTCTCAGCTGGAATTTGACGAGTTTGTTGAGCTAAGATGCAAGCTAATAAGATGTTAACACCCTCATTGACAAACACCGTTTGGTTATAACTGAGAAGTGTACGAGCCGTGTCGAGAAGTGCTTCAGTTGCTCGTAGCATCGACAGTAAAGCATTTGCAGTCTGGGTCTACACTGCCAATACAGTCCTTGCAAGTTGTACCTTCAGTGCCGATGTTGATGGCGCAATCCCTTTGGCGATCTTGGTAGAGGCTATGGTCATATTTGAGTTGTGCTGATAAAATCTGCTGTTGTATCGTTCCGACAGGACCGGGGAAACGCATCCACTTGGAGACACACGGAGACGGGGGTGACTGACAGGGGCGCGGGAGAGTGCGAGTGACCCAAGCAGAGCACGAGCGAGTCTCTGCTGAATCGCACGGAGCGTGCTTCAACCTTGGTGAATCCTGGGTCCGGGGTCGGACCTGCGTCCTGGAGCGGAGCCCAGCCCCTCGGCTCAATTCCGTCATGGGGGAAGTCTCGAGTGAGACCCGACGAGAGGTCCTCTGCTGGACGATCACATGCACTACGGCTAAGAGAGCCGAGGCTTGTTTGCCTTGAGGGTGCCACTCCGGTGCCAAGACATTGCTTTTGTCGGGGTGCCGATACTTCAATTTGTGGCTCCCAAGTCTCAGCAGAGGCGAGGTTGTCAATTGCTCCATGGATGGGCACTGCACTGAGCGTTGCCCAATTGTATCACACGAGGCTCAGGTCTTGCCAAGTTTTGACAGGAAATCCGATTTTAAACTTTCCCTCCCCCACATATTGTGTTTATTGACCCAGATTAGTGCCCGAGGAACCGACAAATGCTTTTAAAATTTACAGTCTGCCTTGATTCTCACCCCCTACGTTTTTCTTCACGTTACTTAATGTCGCTGGGCATACTGCCTACAGAGCAACAATTGAACATTAAACAGATTACTTTTTTTGCATTGACAAGGTGGATTCTATCCTGGCTCGTGCTGCGGCCGGTAATTAAATTCCCCTTCATGCTGCCAGCCAAACACATTAGCACGACCTGCTATGAACGTCTGAAAAATGTTGACTCTGCTTTCCCTGGAAGGGGGTTTATAAAGTGGGATGGACTGAATACGTCGAAGTGTTGAGTGATTTCATTACGGGAAAGCGAGCAGATGTTCACGTAATTCTCAATCTCGTTAGGGATTGGCGAGGCTGTAAATACGATGCAATCCGTGCAGTGACGCGCACCGCTGTTGCAGCACGTGTTGTTGATCGTAGTCACGTGTTTGTTATTAACCTGTTCGTGTGATGCACGTGGAGCGGTGCTGTCCTGGCTGTGGCAGCCAAAGGCTCTACTTCCCATGTCTATTCATCAGTTAGGTCGCTGGGCTCAAATAAACACGAAGTTGCTTACATCAGGTGAATAACACGATACCCACATTGTCCACCAATGCAGTTAAGGCAAATGTTAATAAAATAAAATAATTCAAAATCCTTTACAAGAACAATGATTCATGGATGGATTTTTACCCTCTTAATGTGTGCATTGAATCATGTATAATTTGATTGGTTCATAAGATCCTGAAGCCATTATCGATTGTACATGTACCACAATAGCAAATTGATGAATAAATCAATGCTACCATCCATATAAAAAAGTATTGAATTAGAGGGATTAATCCTTATCCTTGCCATCAGCTAAATTTGAGCTATATGCAAGTCGCCTCTGCTCCTAGTTACAAATATTTTTAACAAACTTATTTCTTGCATACAAATTATATAATTGTGTGCAGGAGGCAATGCATAACATTTAAATAGCGCAAACACCACCATGGTGATAGGTGCAGGGACAATCAAGATGGTTGCTTAGATTTTCAAAACATTTATTTTCAGTTTTGTACAACTTTTAATCTGGGTTATAAGACAGCCTTAATAGTACCCATTGTTTGGCATATTATAAACACGTAGCCATCATTTTGTGTATTTAATCACCACACCCAAACACATCTTGCACATAAGTATTATTGGTTCTTTCGGTAAAGTCATGTAGAAGGGAAATAAAGTAATACAAATATTATTTCCCTTCTACGTGATTTTACTGAGAGGACCAATAATATGAATCCCTGCAGTCACGAAAGCTTTAAATCGAAATTTAAATCATAAGTGTTGATAAAGGTGTGGCAAAACCTTAACATAATTTTCCAAACCGAATTGCTGTTTACTTCTATGTAAAAACAACTGCACCTCTCAAAAGCGGCTGTGTAGATGCAGGTTATTTCAGTTTTCCACTAATGATCAAGCTCACCCTCCCACCTTCAACACAACGAGACTCAAGGCATCATTTTCTCAGAAGGGTGCCCTCTTACCATTAGCACTGCTTGCTTCATCCATTTGAATGTTTTAAATCCTGCTGTCAGTTATAATTAAGCATGGCCACATCCTGTGGGATTTGTGCACAGTATCAATTCGATTGGAGAAACACTGCCGTTAATGCTCTGGTTTATATTGTAGGAGGGAAAAAATGTGTCTGTCAATTACACGTTAAATAATCATCACACTTTCCTTAGAAAGGGTGGCACTTCAATTTTGAACGAAACCATTTCACCCCCGAATGTCATCCTTACACAGCACAGGTTAGTGCTTTTCTATACTCGGTGAAAGAAAAAAGCAAAGATTTAATATGCTGTTTGATAGGGGCTGCCCAATGTGCTTGGGTGAGCAGTATGGGGTGGGAGGTCAGGCGGGAGTGCGCAATCAGTCCCCGTAGAGCATGCGGAAGGCGGGCCCGATCTCGGCAATCATGTCCACGGTGGTGGTGGAGCGGCCGTGCTTGAGGAAGGCTTGGCGGTTGCACTGCCGCGTGAGAGTGCACGCTCCGTACGCCCCCAGCAGCGTTGGGTTCACTCTATGGGAACACACGCGCTGGTTGTGGCTTTGTGGTTGCACAATTGAACAAAAACAAGACACTGGATATTTAAAATATATATTAAAACATTGCTTTGAACAGACAAAATGCTTGAATATTACTTAGTGCTATCTTTTTAAAACAACATTTCCAATAATCATGCTTTTGGCAAGGGTGCTCTTCAGGGCAGACGGCGGCCAGAATAATTAAACAAACTTAGATTTGGAGAGGGCATCTTGCAAGTTACTTAAAAAGTAGTAAATGCGAGACTTGCTTTGAGCAATTTTTTTTATTGTCAAATACTGTTCGAGACTTTAAATAACAAAACATTTAATGAACTCAATACAATTCTGGGTGCATCAACCTTTTATAATATAACCAGTGAGTTATAATTTTAACTTAGAAATTAAATTAATTGAAACCAGATGACACAAGTCTTGTACAATTTAGACTTGAATGCGTGCTTGATCAGCTGTATCTTGTTGGTATTTGCGAGTGTGAAATGTCCGTGATATGGGGGCACATTCATTACCCGTTGGAGACAGTGGGGTTGGCGGCGAGGGCCCAGTAAACCATGATGCCCGTGGCACCAGAAAGGAGGTCGCCCTGGCCACCGCACCTGCGGTAGCTGCCTTCGTGCTCGCACACGAGCACTGATGGAGATAAGCGGCGCAGGGCAAAGCGCCGATGTGTTATCGTGGAATTGCACGATCACGGGTGGAGCCCCCATTTACTTCCTCCAGACACGAGCGGCTGCATTTGCTTTGCAGCATGGCAGCTTCTGAGCAGTGCAAGTGACATGCACCAGGCGCAGTGTAAAGAAATATCTGTGTAATTTTAAACCACTACCAGCTGCTATTTTAGCTATCAGAATCTTTATCCTGGAGAAATCCAATGAGCCTTGAAGCTCTTTCACAGATATCCAGTTTCAAGAGTATATATATTTTTTATATGCTTGCATATGTATGACATCACGGTTGATTCAGACTTGGAGGTAGCATCCAACTACAAACTTTGGTGAACAAATCTTTAAGGTTTCTACAGCCTGTGGTGGGCGCAGTGGTCACTGTATAATAAAATAATAAACTGGTGGAACCGCACGTGGTTTAGAAAGAAAGGACCAAACTGCTTCTGTCGTGTACTTTGCTGGTTCAACAACATTAGTTTTTAGCAGAGGTGGGACAAAGTCATTGTTATGCAAGTCCAAGTCGAGTCTGAAGTCATCAAATTCATGACTCGAGTCTGACTCGAGTCCAAGTCACATGACTCGAGTCCACACCTCAGAGGTGGGACAAAGTCATTGTTATGCAAGTCCAAGTCGAGTCTGAAGTCATCAAATTCATGACTCGAGTCTGACTCGAGTCCAAGTCACATGACTCGAGTCCACACCTCAGAGGTGGGACAAAGTCATTGTTATGCAAGTCCAAGTCGAGTCTGAAGTCATCAAATTCATGACTCGAGTCTGACTCGAGTCCAAGTCACATGACTCGAGTCCACACCTCAGAGGTGGGACAAAGTCATTGTTATGCAAGTCCAAGTCGAGTCTGAAGTCATCAAATTCATGACTCGAGTCTGACTCGAGTCCAAGTCACATGACTCGAGTCCACACCTCTGGTTTTTAGTGCCATTCAGGTTTGAAGCCTCTCAACCGCAATACAGTAACTCACCGGTCTCCCCGTCGGACACCAGGTCTTCCTGCCCTTTCTGCACGATGGTGACGTTTCCCAGGGCGAGGCACAGCTGCGTGAGCGCCGCGTATTTGTTCCCTTGCACAGCCGTGCCCTCTCCCAGCTGTGGGCCAGACTCAGCATGACCACAAAGGATGGCGTCATGTCCGACGTCGCGATACTGATGCACACCTGTCCGTCACCGGTGTACACTCCCTCTCGCTGGGATTATATAGCTACCAAGTTCATGGGAGGCTCAACTGGAACACATAATGGTAGTTTCTCCGGGCCATCAGCCATCAACTTTTACATAGCCACAATTAACCACTTGCTCTTTCTGACCTTGACCCCACCAAATGTGAATCCATTCACTACTTAGATAGCCCCACCCTTTGCCTGTAACAAGCGTCAAGCATAAGGCTAGAAAATCTTACAATGGAACAAAATCCGAATTTTTTTCAAATGCTTTTAGACACGCTTTCTGAAACCTGGTCTGTCTTGGCCAAACCAAGGAATTTGGTAGTAGCCTTATAGTTTTAACAAGTATGACTGCTGAGTATTGCTCCATTGGTAGAAGCATTGCTCTTGAGAGATGGCAAGTTCAAGTCCAGATCATTATGCTAGTCATCACCTTCAACTTATTAAACCTAATTGCCATCTTAATCGTCAACATTGTATCAACTGTCAACATTTCACATCATCACCATTACAAAATGCAATAATCAGATTAACTTCATAATGGGTGTAACCGTTTTCATGATCATCATGATCTCTCACAGTCGTCTGCTGCAGCCGGTTGAACTCAATGGCGTTGGGGGTGAGGATGATGCACCGGTGTCCATGTATAAGAGCAGGGTTCTGTGTCACCAGCCACAGGCCATCCTGAGTGCACGCCACAAGCAATACCACGGGAGAGAGCAAGCTGATGGGAGTGCCCTTATGCTAAAATGTCCACTTGTGTTTCATATTTGTTGTAATTGAAGGAAATAGTTTTACATCACCTGTTGAATTGCATTCATGGTGCACCAATGAGTTAAACAGCTATATTAGTTTGATGTATTTCATTCACAGCATAACAAAGTTATCAGAATTCTGCACCATCTTCTGGCTGCAGCTAAATATGGTCAATATACACATGTGGGAGTGTGCATAACAGATTGTGTACTTACAGCATCAATGACAATAGGAATTCCTTTGCTCTTTGCCTTCTCAATAATAATCTGTTCAGAAATGGATGAAAAAGAGCATCAGTTCCCAATACATCCGGAGAGACCTGGCAACTGTAAAAAGGTGCATCATGTCCACATCAGAGCAAAATGCTACCAGGATTGTATAGTTGATATTCACCCTTTTTGAAAAAAAACATGCATACCAAGCATAAACTGAACTTGTAAGACAACCTGCCTAGCCTTTTTTTACCCAGTGACCAGTATTTTACTGACCTGCATGTAATGAAGTGGGCACATCTGTTTGTCGGCATCATCAAGCTATGTCATTAAGAGCTCAGTGGAAATCGTTGGGGTTTCAACGCACTTGTTTCCATATGAAGTGATCATGCATGGGCAAGGTCATGATATGAACTCTGGACTAGAGTCCTACATTAGTTGGGTGCCATTTTTCAGGGTACACATTAGCTCATGTTCACGTCATGTCCGGCCTGCATCTGAATAGGAAAGCTTAAAAACAGCTGTGACCCACTTCGTAGGTCACCCGTGGGTACCTGACCCGATACACGTCACCATCTTGGACTCATAAAAGTGTGAGCCCAGATAAATCTCCTTATCTCCGTATCAAGGCCAAGAATCGTAGTAACCGAGTGCCATGAGTCATTGTGTGGCCGCTGACGCTCAGTGTTTTCCTCGCTGGGTTTTCTATTTTGCTTCGCGTGTTCCCGGGCAGTCCAAGGCTGACCTTGACATTCTCCAGGATCTCGGGGTCACGGCCGAGCCCTGGTCCAACCACCAGGGAGTTAAGACGTGGCAACCATGTGTCCATCTCCTGCCCAATGTTCTCGTGGTCCCTACACAATATGACACCGAGCACACAAACACGCACGTTACTCTCGTGCGCACACTGCACCGTTGCTTCACTGAACACCGTGGGTGAAGCTGCAAGGATGAGTGGAATGGTGGTGAATTTAATTTATTCGTCATTGCTAAGATGCAATCATTGATACAATAGTTAAGATGCGATAGTTAAGTGATTGTTACATCACAAGTTCGAGAGAGGTGGCAGTGACTCGTGGAGAGCTTCTTCCAAAAGTGGATTAACCATAGCTGTACGTATGTAGAACTTCTTTTGCACCGTACGTAGCCAACCATGCTAATCGGAGGTGCGTCTGATGATAATGGAGTTAAGCTGCAAGGGACCATAAGAAAAAAACTCACAAAACCTTATTTGCTATTTGCAGCTGGTTCCTAACCACGAGCATTAAAGAGGCCGACTCATCTTTGTTATGACATTGCAATGAAGTAATTTGGCAAATGTTATATCGGTTTCACATTTATAAGGGACTTTTCGTTCTGTGGCTGATACCCTCCTGCGACAAGTTGCAATTGAGCCTTTCGAAGGAGCGATTCCCCCGATAACAAGAGGAATTATTATTATCTCATGGCTTGTAACACCAGTTAGGATGCAGCCTTGGGACCACGACACCTACCAATTATGTATTTGGTTTACATGTTACATGCTCTTGCATGACCTTAAACAAGACATTTAACATCTTGCTACATATTAAAATCCATAAGTAACATTTTGCTTGTATGGGTCTTCCAGACCTGACGAATGAAATAATGCAAGGGAATTTCTTGGCTTCGTCCACTGCTGAATGTCCAAACTAGTCAATGAGGACCTCTTCAATTATTGGGATGCCATTGTCAAGTTGCTCAAGGGGCTTTATCGGTGTGTGGATCATGAAGGTGCCAGGCTGTGATGGAGGTCCACTTACAGGATTGGGTGAACGATGAGCTCGGGGCTGTAGGACTTGATAACCACCGCTGTGTCCTTCGTGCAGAACACATGGGAGAGGTCGGCTCCCTGGGAGCGACGCACACAGAGACAAGTGAGACTAGTACGGTGTGGAGAGAAGCACTGATCAGACACTGCCAGGCAGCAGCATGGACATGCAGTCCCGGTTTGGTACAGACCTACACCACCCTGCCCTTCAATTTTAGATCCACACTTTGCTCGTACAAACACATACCACCACAGTTGTGTAAGTTTCACAATATATTTAATGTCATTTATTTCTCCGTAAAATCTTTACGGAGTCTCAAAACTAGTTTCAAGGTGGGTCCTGCATTGGAAAGTTTGGCAAATTAATGTTGAATTAAGTTTGAGGTTGGAGGAATCCAGAGACAAGAGAAAGTTTTGCATTGACAATTTCACAACTCATTTGCTGTACTGCCATCTCCTGGCCACCTTAAGGCACAGCAGGAGTTTCACAATCCTATGTAGTTCCACCCATCTCTTTCCTACAAAGCAATAGATTTCAGGCTTGTGCCACTATGATTGGCTTACTAAAACCGCCACAGTTCAGGTCATTGTATAGTCTGCTTTTATAACTTAGAAGTTGACCATCCCTTCAGCTGAAGATTAAGTTTACTGGATTGGATGACAAATTGACATTGCCTATTCTAGTTTCTTGTGATCTATAAGCATTGCATGCATGAGGTTTGCACAATTATATAACTATGTCAACAGTGCACTTGCGAGTAAATATGTACGTTGAATTTTGTGGTTGTACTGTTCTTTTTTCCTGAGCGCAGATATTTGATACAGTATTAAGCACCCCAGGCCTCCCTTGCGGATGAGATGTCTCAATTTACTTTCCCCTGGTTATAAACTTGATGCATGTATTCACTTACATATAGCTCCGCACAGCATGCAGTTCCGTCACACAGTTGTAAAACATAACACACATGTCCTGTTGGCAGGCTCTGCAAAACTTTCAAACATTACATATCCACTCTGACCAATTAACCACCCTTACACGGAGACATAATATTTGTAGACATCCGACATTTTCAAATCTCCGCCTATACTTCAGTCCCTAGCGAGTCGGATATTGCAACGTTGTACCATGCCGGGTCAACTGGTGGAGGTGGAAGTGGCCGCGCAAAGATTATTACCACTTTCAAAGCAGAGATGGCAGCAAAATACGGCGCTCCAGCATAGCTGTAGGATACACAGACAAAAGAACGTCAATTGTATACATACCACAATATCTAGGTTCAACATATTTGGCAGAAAAGCTGTTATTGGAATGATAGAAAGCAAAAATGCAACAATTTGTTCACGTTAATTCTTATGCTCACTATAATAAATGCATGATATTGTACATCAAATAATTGAAAATATGATTTAAGCAAATATATGCAAATGATAAGTATAATGGAACGGATTAAATTAGATAGATCAAAACATTAACATGAGACAAACAGCACAGCAGAAATAAGACAATACAGTAATTGGTTTCTACATTGAATCCTAACAATTCGTTGGGGAGTAGAGTAATTTATCATTAAATGTCACCAGTGTCTAATATGGTATTTGTATTTTACTTTTGAGACTAGTCTCTGGAGGAAATGCTTCACAAGTAGACTTAAAACTCAGTGATAGTCTGCCATAGGGTCAAGCTTGCTGACAAAAGTCATTCATTCCACTAATCATCTAAAAGAATGTAAACTGGGACATATATTCGTAACGACAAAATCCACCTTTGTTTTTCATCCCGGAAAAACAAATATGGATCATAGATATGGCTACGAAAATCTACGTTTTAGTCGCACGATTGTCTGTAAAACGGGGGGGGGGGGGGGGGGGCGGGTAAGATTGAACTTTGCGAGTGAGACAACACCAACAACGGACGGAGACGTGTGCGAGTTGAATGAACCCACTCCCGTGAGCCGCCCACGATTCCGATGCGGCCGGCTTGGCCTTTGTGTTTTGTGGGAGAGAGCGGAGGGATGATGCCTCGTACTTGCTCCAGAGGGCTCGCCATGCGACCTGTACACGACAAAGATCCACCGTATAGACTTAACAGCATTTGCCCCAACAGTCTGTTAGCGAGCACCTATGAAGGCCGGCACAGCACACGAGGGGGTGGGTGGCCAACACCACGCCTGGCCGCCTTTGTCTCCCCAGTGGCGATGTTTACACACCGGACCTGGTACTTATTTGAGGCCGGGTCGACCTCGGGGAGGCCCACGACTGGTTCAGATAATCGTCACTGGGTGTTGGCCATGAGTGTGAATCGAACTTGAGTCGCCGGGTTCGTAGCGCAGCGCTTTAACCGCTGCACTGCTGTTCCCCACTACCGTCCATGACAAATACAGACACACATGTACACAGCTACAGGCATAGACACAAACATGCACACCCTGTTGGAGATTATTACAGTATTGTTATGACATAACTATTTCTTAGGTTCCTTTAAATGCATATACTCCTTAATAGATGGTACAACATCTAAAGCATATTTAAATAACATGGAAAACTGAGTAAAAAAATATAATTGATGTAAAGATGCTAAATTGGTAAACGAATTTAAAATAACTGCACAGTTTTTGCACAAGTTACTGATGACCAGTGGTGGGACCATCACCGCTTCAGAACTCTGTTTTACTCAGGGGTGGCTGGAATTTCATCAACCTGGGATCTCAATTTTGTCTACTCCATGCTGACACAAAAACTGTGTGCCACATCTTAAGCACGTGGATCAAGCGCGCTTCGGACCTCAAAGCAAAATGCTCTTTGCAAAACCCATCTCATTCATGTGGGTACCACCATCAGCACTTCCTCCATCCTTCCGCTTCCCCTGACCTGTGAAGGTCAGTCGCTTGGCGCAAGTCTGCGCAACACTCTGCTGCAGGCGCCTCTTCCTCTTCTTGCCCGACTTGGATGCCTCCTCGTTGTCCTCGATCGCCTCCACCACCACGGTCCCGGCCTCGGCCTCGGCGTGCACCGTGGCCTGCGTGGCGGCCGTGAGGATGCTGGCCGACGGGATGTCAATGGTCTCGAAGACGTACTGCACGCCCTCGGTCACGCCGTCGCCTGACTCCATCTTGGTGGACAGGTGCTGGATGGCGAAGGAGACCTCGTCGGGCGGGTAGAGCTTCTCAAACTCGGCCGGGTGCTTGGAGCGGATGTGTTTGCGCAGGTTGCTGGTGCTCTGGCGGTACGCGAGAAAATTCTGGCAAAGCTTGCACTGGGCCAGCTTGGTGATGTTGTTGGGAGTCTCAAACACCTCCCACACCTTGGAGTAGCACTTGAGGCTGGTCATGGTTGCATGATGTGGTTCCAAAACGTGGACACGTGGGGCAGGGTTTCGGATAATGCCCCCTCTTTCTGTGTGGGTATGCACGGACCTATCAGGCCAATGAGCTTGACACCACTACTCATGTATTATTACTGTAGTATTGCAGTGAAAGTACACAGTTATGTAGAACTTCTTTCGCACCGTACGTAGCCAACCGTGCTAATAGGAGGTGCGGGGAAGGACAACAAACTAACACACAAAAAGCAATTATATACCGATATAGCCATGCATATATTGTAGTATTGTACAGTATTATACTATGCTGTCTTGTAGAATACACACGAAATTGAGACTTGCTTGGTTAAACGTACAATAGGCTACGATTCCAAGTCAGTGCCTGGAGTGCTGTTGTCTACACACACACACGTGTTCACTAAACACTCGCCACACTCGTGCTCACTAAACACTCGCCACACTACACACACGTGTTCACTAAACACTCGCCACACTAAACACTCGTGCTCACTAAACACTCGCCACACTCGTGCTTACTAAACACTCGCCACACTACACACACGTGTTCACTAAACACTCGCCACACTACACACACGTGTTCACTAAACACTCGCCACACTCGTGCTCACTAAACACTCGCCACACTCGTGTTCACTAAATACTCGCCACACTAAACACCCCACACACTACACACACGTGTTCACTAAACACTCGCCACACACGTGTTCACTAAACACTCGCCACACACGTGTTCACTAAACACTCGCCACACTAAACACTCGCCACACTAAACACACGTGTTCACTAAACACTCGCCACACTAAACACACGTGTTCACTAAACACTCGCCACACTAAACACTCGCCACACTCAGCACATGTGCGCTGGTCACGCCTCCCACTACACACACGTCTGCAACTTCTCTCTCTCTTGCACACACGATATGCACCAACGCAAAACAAGTTAATTGAACACGCACACAAGACTATGCGCACTGAAGACACGTACAAATAACGCATGCACAGACACGAGCGCGTTAAAGATACTTGTACTATGAGCACATGCCCGCAGACACACATCCACTAATCACACATACCAAAACGTGCGCTTACCACGATTCAATTGCAACATATGCTTCCGATTGCTGAACGAACACATCGGAGGCCTCCACTCATCACACACCAAGCGCTTGGCCACAGACGAACCACGACACTTCGCTAATCTCGTCAAGGGGCTTCTGCCTGCAACCCATCCAACAAACTGGATCACGGCCGTCTGGAACGTTCTTCCCTCGGGTTATTAGGAAGCCACTGGAGCTACGCACTTTTAAATACGGACTGAGAACGGATGTGTTTAGAACTGCTGCGTTTTGTGTTTGGTTTGCGGTCCTTCCACCGCACCTCCGACAACAAGCGAAAGAAGCTCAACACGTTTACACTACGAGATCTCTTTTACCAGTGGCAAAATATAGTGGTAGGTTTGTACCCTTTTAAACTGGTACAAAACTGACACCTTTATTCAAGGCATCATGTTTGCTCTAAAGAAAGCCGTCTCGGGTGTGGACCAATCAACTTCAAGGGCAGTGCATATTATTATCATTATCAGAGTTGCTTATTTTTGTTTTACTTTTTTGACTACTTGTGTTGTGGTTATTGCAAACATGATGCCTTGAATAAAGCTGTCAGTTTTGTACCAGTTTAAAAGGGTAAAAACCTACTACTATAAGTTCAACACGCATGCGAACAAGTTACCTGGCAAACCACGCAAAGATAAACGCAGCACTGTTAGCCTGCCACGTGCACGTGGATGCTGCCGTGCACGAGTGGCAGCAGCAGCAGCCACGTGCACCGCACACGCAGCCACCTGCACCGCACACGCAGCCACGTGCACCGCACACGCAGCCACCTGCACCGCACACGCAGCCACGTGCACCGCACACGCAGCCACCTGCACCGCACACGCAGCCACGTGCACCGCACACGCAGCCACGTGCACCGCACACGCAGCCACGTGCACCGCACACGCAGCCACCTGCACCGCACACGCAGCCACGTGCACCGCACACGCAGCCACCTGCACCGCACACGCAGCCACCTGCACAGCACACGCAGCCACCTGCACCGCACACGCAGCCACCTGCACCGCACACGCAGCCACCTGCACCGCACACGCAGCCACCTGCACCGCACACGCAGCCACCTGCCACCGCACACGCAGCCACGTGCACCGCACACGCAGCCACCTGCCCCGCACACGCAGCCACCTGCACGCACACGCAGCCACCTGCACCGCACACGCAGCCACGCTGCACCGCACACGCAGCCACCTGCACCGCACACGCAGCCACCTGCACCGCACACGCAGCCACGTGCACCGCACACGCAGCCACCTGCCCGCACACGCAGCCACGTGCACCGCACACGCAGCCACGTGCCACCGCACACGCAGCCACCTGCACCGCACACGCAGCCACCTGCACCGCACACGCAGCCACGTGCACCGCACCGAGCCACCGCACCGCACACGCGCCACCTGCACAGCACACGCAGGCCACCTGCACCGCACACGCAGCCACCTGCACCGCACACGCAGCCACCTGCACCGCACACGCAGCCACCTGCACCGCACACGCAGCCACCTGCACCGCACACGCAGCCACCTGCACCGCACACGCAGCCACCGGCACCGCCACGCAGCCACCTGCACCGCACCAGCCACGCAGCCGCACCGCAAGCCCTGCACCGCACACGCAGCCACCTGCACCGCACACGCAGCCACCTGCCGCACCAGCCCTGCACCGCACACGCAGCCACGTGCACCGCACACGCAGCCACCTGCACCGCACACGCAGCCACCTGCACCGCACACGCAGCCACCTGCACCGCACACGCAGCCACGTGCACCGCACACGCAGCCACCTGCACCGCACACGCAGCCACCTGCACCGCACACGCAGCCACCTGCACCGCACACGCAGCCACGTGCACCGCACACGCAGCCACGTGCACCGCACACGCAGCCACGTGCACCGCACACGCAGCCACCTGCACCGCACACGCAGCCACGTGCACCGCACACGCAGCCACCTGCACGCGGCTAAGACTCTCTAAGCGGCCTCCATCTCACAAGCTCGTCAACCACCACGGGGGACACTTCATGGAACACTCCGTTTACTCGAGCCACGAGCCTCACCCCACACACACGGGCGCACAGCCTTGACACACATTGACACACACACAGGCAGAGACACACACACAGAGACACACAGGCACACACAGAGACACACACAGGCACACACACAGAGACACACACAGGCACACACACAGAGACACACACAGGCACACACACAGAGACACACACAGGCACACACACAGAGAGATACACACAGGCACACACAGAGACACACACAGGCACACACACACGGAGACACACAGAGAGACACACAGGCACAGAGATACACACATAGGCACAGACACACACACAGGCACACACACAGGCACACACAGGCACACACACAGACACAGGCACACACACAGAGACACACACACCGTCTGACACACACACAGACACCACACACACAGAGACACACACACAAACACACACACCACACAGAGACACACACACAGACACACACACACAGACACACACACCACACAGAGAGACACACACACACAGACAAACACACACAGACACACACACACAGACAAACACACACAGACACACACACACAGACACACACACACAGACACACACACCACACACACAGAGACACACACCACACACACAGAGACACACACCACACACACCACACACACACCACACACACACAGACACACACAGACACCACACACAGAGACACAGACACCACACACACACACAGACACACAGACACACACACAGAGACACACACACACAGACACACACAGACACACACACAGACACACACACCACACACACACAGACACACACACACACAGACACACACACAGACACACACACAGACACCACACACACACACAGAGACACACACACACAGACACACACAGACACACACACCACACACACAGACACACACACACACAGGCACACACACACAGACACACACACACACAGAGACACACACACACAGACACACAGACACACACAGACACACACACCACACACACAGACACACACACACAGGCACACACACACAGACACACACACACACAGAGACACACACACACAGACACACACACACACACACACAGAGACACACACACACAGACACACACACCACACACACACAGACACACACACACAGAGACACACACACCACACACACCACACACACAGACACACACACACACACAGACACACACACACAGACACACACACACAGACACACAGAGACACACACACACAGACACACACACCACACACACCGACACACACACCACACAGAGACACACACACAGACACACAGACACACACACACAGACACACACAGAGACACACACGTGAGGGGTTTCCTCCGTGCCGGGTCTCAGACCCGGGATCGAATCCTCCGGCTCCGGTTCCGCGGCTCTCGGCTCCTTGCGCGGTCCCACAAAATGGCGCTGGAACCGTGGCGGGGCGGGGGGCTGCTACTGAATATTCATGAGGTGCGGGGTGGGCGTGGCTCGCCGTGATGACGTTGGGGGAGGAGTCGGGGCTGCCATGTGAGTGGGGGGGCTGCTAATGAATATTCATGAGGTCCGGGTGGGCGTGGCTAGCTGTGATGACGTTGGGGGAGGAGTCTGGGCTGCCATGTGAGTGGGGGGGGCTGCTACTGAATATTCATGAGGTGCGGGGTGGGCGTGGCTCGCCGTGATGACGTTGAGGGAGGAGTCGGGGCTGCCATGTGGGTGGGGGGGGCTGCGATGTGGGGGGGGCTGCCATGTGGGGGGGGGGGGCTGCCATGTGGGGGGGGCTGCCATGTGGGTGGGGGGGGGCTGCCATGTGGGTGGGTGGGGGGGGCTGCCATGTGGGTGGGTGGGGGGGGCTGCGATGTGGGTGGGGGGGCTGCGATGTGGGGGGGGGGGGGACTGCCATGTGGGTGGGGGGGCTGCGATGTGGGGGGGGGGCTGCGATGTGGGGGGGGGGGGCTGCCATGTGGGTGGGGGGGGGGCTGCGATGTGGGGAGGGGGCTGCGATGTGGGGGGGGGCAGTCGCCCTCCAGCAACAACGGAGGGCAGAACGGCGACGCTCACAAAAAATAAAGTTTAATAAAAACATCACGACGTTTCGATGGCAACACAAGCTATCTACGTGACTTTACCTAAAGACCCAAAGAATATCAATACGTACATTTTGTATCGAGGACTTCATGTTATCTTCTTGGTTCTTTCGGTAAAGTCACGGAGAAGGGAAATAATAAAAATAAAACATAATAAAATAATTATCTGTCGGAAAGACAGACCTGTTCTTCACCTGAGGACGGCTGCTTGCGTTGTGGCCGAAACGTCGTGAGATTTATTTTATTATGTTTTATTATTTTATTATTTCCCTTCTACGTGACTTTACCGAAAGAACCAAGAAGATGAATCCCGGCAGTCACGAAAGCTTTAAATCGAGACTTAATGTTACTCAACAGCTATTAGCCAACTATTCGCATAGCAAACTTTAAAGAGATTTAGAATATAATTATCGTGAGGACCCATAGTGCAAAGTGCAGCATCCAACTCTTATTGTGCACTATCTCTGGCCTATTTATCTATTAAGGGCCAGTGCCCGAAACGTCGACCATTCCAAGTAGTTTCCATGTCAAAAGCCACGGCGACAGCGCGGGTGGGTAGGGATGGGCGGGGCCTAGCGAAGGTAGGCGTTACCCACTGCCGCACGAGCGCTCTCATTGGCCGACGCAGCGCGCACGCTCTCTCAGCGGTGGCCAATGGGAGCTGCGGGACGTCAACGTAGGCGGAGCCAAAGTGAAGATTTTGCAAATTAGTTGTATAAGCTCCACCCCCTCTCCCGCGTTCACGCCGCGGGACCCGGGTTGTGGATCCGGGTTCGACTACGGTTCCGGTTCCGGCGGAACCGGAGTTGTAGAAACACGTGGGTGGAGTCCACGTGGGTTCAGTCCACGTGGGTCACGAAGTAAACAAACACGCGGATTACAGCCCGAGGGTACAGCACGGGCACACACTGGGTCCCAAATTCTCCGCAGAATGTCAACGCCGCAAGGTTGAAATTCCACGTTCTCATGACGATGACAAGTCCATCTACAAAGAGCGCCAATTCTCATTCGGCAGAATGCGGCTTGAACTGTGCCGAGACCCGACGCCGGACGATATACTTCTGGTGGATATTGCAGATTCCCAGGATGATGACAGGTTTATCCACAGAAGCAATCGCTGTTGGTAATGCAATGAGGAGGCTGAACGGCAAGAGAATTGATGAGCGTCATCTTCGGTGGCGCCGAGTATGGAAATTTCACAATCCGATGGCGGTAGTGGAAATTCTTCATTTGTATTGCAGGGACCGCGGTAACTTCGAGGACAACTATCGTTATTTGGGCGAGTAATTTCAACTGTCATGATAGCAGTCAGAGTTGCATTGGCATCAACCAGTGTCGGAAAGTCACAACAGCGGGGATAAGTCCATCCATAGCGACCACTTCTTCCATTACACCGAGTGGCTTGAACAACGGCGATAACCCTCACACAGTGCATCATACATAATCGTGTGCGAAAGTTGCAACATAATGGTAAAAAAAACGTGTAAAAACTGAGCCACCTTTGTCTCCCCAATTAAATACGCAGTGATAGTGTACGTCATAAAATACACGGCGTTTGTACTGTACGTATTTTGGTGGTAAACAAAGGTCACCAGCAGACAGTATTATTAAGTGGTATTAAGGTACTGTATATTCTGCAGTTTAGTGGATCATTGCACTCAGTATGTATGTGCTAGTAATAGCATTCATAACGGAATGTTTTCATTGTACTATACACCTTAACGGTGTGTTTAACGCACACTAAATTGTTAAATGTGCCTAGGTTATTGACCTTCGTGACTGTGCCCGGCTCTTATCCATAATGTATGACTCACATGTGGGTAGTTTCACAAATTAGGCAAGTTTTGAAGGTATTTAGTAAGTCGATGGGTTTGACACGCGTTATCCCAGGCGTGGATGAAAAAGTGAGTTTGTCCGAGTGCGCCCGACACTGGCATTGAGTCTTTCTCGCGATGAGCAAGAAAGCTGCACAGATGAGCCGTATCGCAGTCGTATACAGACAGCTTAATGATGATTAATGATGATTACTTCACATCTACGACGTGTGCTGGCATGTGCGTCCTAAACCGCGGAGCTGCCCATGCATCACACAATAAGTACATGACACAGCACGTATAATGTTACACGGGCATATCGAATAGTTTTATACCGCAGTAAATAAATGTACACATTGGGCTCATCGATCCTCAATACAAATCCTCACCTTCGGCAACTGAAGAGTGGCAACGGGAACGAACCAAAGCAGCGAACACGTTCCGCAGACGCTCCACGCGAAGCATCCCCCGCTTACTCGACACACTTCGACACTAAATGTCCCAAAATAATTTTACCAAAAATTTACCAAAGCCATCATCAAGGCTATAAATAAGAACAAGTTTCTTCCACCATTGGCATCAATAGGCTCACGTGATTTAATTGTATACAGCGCTTCGGAGCACGTTGCCGGCCCCTGATTGGCGGAGCCCGCAAATCCCTCGAGCCGTCTCCACCAATCGCAGCGCGAGGAACGCGATGGCCCGTGCCCGTGCTGACTGCGAAATGTAAGCGGAGGGGGCGAGAGAACCAAATCTCGCGAGAGAACCAAATCTCGCGAGACTCTCGCAAGGCGAAGCGCTGGCGAAGGAGGGTGGAGCCGCGTCAAGTCTCGCGAGATTCGCGAAGGAGGTGGAGCCGCGTCAAATCTCGCGAGACTCGCGAAGGAGGTGGAGCCGCGTCAAGTCTCGCGAGACTTTGGGGAGATTTTTTGAACGAATATTTTAAATGGCGGCGCGGTGTTCGGCCGCGGCGTCTCCACGGCAACGGAGAGCTCCTAAACCCTGAACCGTTCATAAATATAAACGTGTAAACACTATTCATCATCATCATCATAGTTAACAATTATAGGTGTTAGATAGGGGACGTCTTAAATCCTCGAGTATGGCGGCGTCTGGCGCGGTGAGTGAATCTGTGGAGAGACTCAAGAAGAAATACCTGGGCCAGGTGAGACCCGCGGTGCACACACAGTTCCACAGCACTGAACCATACTTCACCACCCTGGTCACTGTGGGGGTGGTGGTGGTGAAGGGGGTGGTGGTGGTGGTGAAGGGGGTGGTGGTGGTGGTGGTGGTGAAGGGGGTGGTGGTGGTGGTGGTGAAGGGGGTGGTGGTGGTGAAGGGGGTGGTGGTGGTGGTGGTGAAGGGGGTGGTGGTGGTGGTGGTGGTGAAGGGGGTGGTGGTGGTGGTGGTGAAGGGGGTGGTGGTGGTGGTGAAGGGGGTGGTGGTGAAGGGGGTGGTGGTGGTGGTGAAGGGGGTGGTGGTGGTGGTGGTGAAGGGGGTGGTGGTGGTGGTGGTGAAGGGGGTGGTGGTGGTGGTGGTGGTGGTGAAGGGGGTGGTGGTGGTGGTGGTGAAGGGGGTGGTGGTGGTGGTGGTGAAGGGGGTGGTGGTGGTGGTGGTGAAGGGGTGGTGGTGGTGAAGGGGTGGTGAAGGGGGTGGTGGTGGTGAAGGGGGTGGTGGTGGTGGTGAAGGGGGGTGGTGGTGGTGAAGGGGGTGGTGGTGGTGGTGGTGAAGGGGGGTGGTGGTGGGTGGTGGTGAAGGGGGTGGTGGTGGTGGTGGTGAAGGGCGTGGTGGTGGTGGTGAAGGGGGTGGTGGTGGTGGTGGTGAAGGGGGTGGTGGTGAAGGGGGTGGTGGTGGTGGTGAAGGGGGTGGTGGTGGTGGTGAAGGGGGGTGGTGGTGGTGGTGAAGGGGGTGGTGGTGGTGGTGTGAAGGGGGTGGTGGTGGTGAAGGGGGTGGTGGTGGTGAAGGGGGTGGTGGTGGTGAAGGGGGGTGGTGGTGGTGAAGGGGGTGGTGGTGGTGGTGGTGAAGGGGGTGGTGGTGGTGAAGGGGGTGGTGGTGGTGGTGAAGGGGGTGGTGGTGGTGGTGAAGGGGGTGGTGGTGGTGGTGAAGGGGGTGGTGGTGGTGGTGAAGGGGGTGGTGGTGGTGGTGGTGAAGGTGGTGGTGGTGATGAAGGGGGTGGTGGTGGTGGTGGTGAAGGGGGTGGTGGTGGTGGTGAAGGGGGTGGTGGTGGTGAAGGGGGTGGTGGTGGTGAAGGGGGTGGTGGTGGTGAAGGGGGTGGTGGTGTAGAAGTTACAGTTACAGCACAGCAGTGTGTTATTCTGTAGATACCCTCGGCCTAACGAACACTGACCCCCCCCCCGCTGGCTTCCTCCACCTGCTGTGTTAATGAAGCTTGTGTTGCCTCCGAAACGTCGTGATTTATTATTTTATTTCTAATATTTTATTATTATTTATTTTTATTATTCATTTTTTACCTACGTGACTTTACCGAAAAAACCTAAGAGTATGAATCCTTGCAGTCACAAAAGCTTCAAATCTAGAATTGCTGGTGGTCGCTCCACACATGTCACCATCCAGTTTCAAACCCGCCCAGCGTCTAGCGAAATCGGACGAATTCGGGGTGATTTTGTCTGAGACGCGTGTCAATTTACAGCGCAGCGCTTTATTTAACACACGAGATAGAGAGAGAGCTCGTTGATGGTAAATTTTGATGTCGCCACTGCTGTGGGAAGGGCCATGCCCATTCGTTATGGGCTCTCGTGGCCCTGTGATGCTGTTTCATTGCTTTTATGGCTTTATTTTGGTGATTTTCGAAAAGTTTTTTGGTTTGGCCATGTTTGTTGTAGTACGGAGTTAGACCGATGGCCTTAATCTAAATTGTCTTGTGGTTGTTGTTGTGGTTGTTTGACTTGCAATCCCACTGGGATTTGTGCACACAGCGTGGGTGTACTGTGCTTTTTCTGCAATATTTTGCTGTCTTTTCTTGGATTTTCTGTTTGCACATAGTCACATATTCACTTTAAGATGTTTTCTTGTTCATGTTTTTTGTTTTTTGCGGTTGCACCCGATTCAAGAACCGAATGGCTCACAGGGCTATACCTAATCAATGCAACTTGAACTGTTCCTATGATCACTGTTTCATTGCTTTTATGGCTTTATTTTGGTGATTTTCGAAAAGTCTTTTTGGTTTGGCCATGTTTGTTGTAGTACGGAGTTAGACCGATGGCCTTAATCTAAGTTGTGTTGTGGTTGTTGTTTGACTTGCATCGCACTGGGATTTGTGCACACAGCGTGGGTGTACGGTGCTTTTTCTGCAATATTTTGCTGTCTTTTCTTGGATTTTCTGTTTGCACTTAGTCACATAGTCACTTTAATATGTTTTCTTGTTCATGTTTTTTGTTTGTTGCGGTTGCACCAGATTCAAGAGCCGAATGACTAACAGGGCTATACCTAATCATTGAACTTGATGCCACCACAGGGCCCCATCTCACCTCGGCACATTAACTGATTAACGCTCCATCTCTGGGGTTGAAGTTTTCTCCAATGCATTGCTCCTTCGCCACTCCGTCACTGGTCTCAGACGTCCATGTGCTGTCATCCCTTTTCGTTAGTGATGTGTCCTGTCCAAGCCCAAATGCTGTTTCGTAACAGTAATTGTCTCTACAGTATTTGCTTTTTGTTCTCTATTTCCGAACATTCGTTTCTTCATGCTTTTGAGATTTTCTCTTTTGTTACCCTTTGTTAATTTATTCAATAATTTCCCGTTGATAATTTTTACTTATTGTAATTACTGTGGTGAGCAATTTTGAGACTTAATCCTATTTTATACATTTATGCGTACAGTTTTTAGAAGACATTTTGTTAATATCACTGAATAATTTTGGTGAAAGTGTGTCTCCTTGTTTGAGATGTTTGAACAATCTGAGGTTAATTTCGTATACTGTACAATTATGATCTTTTAACATGTATGACCTTTCAACATCCACATTGGTGCCCAATTAAATTAACTCCCAAATTGAGTACACACCTATGATAAAATAATAATTGACAGACATTTGTCAATCTACTAATAAAGGCCTCCATTTTCATGTCAGTACCATGTGGAAAATATGGGCATTCATCTTAGAAACTACAGTACTTAATGTAACGTAGCACAGTGCACTACTTTGATTCACATTTTTTTGTGTTTGGTTTGTGTCCTTCCCTTGATTAGTACAGACTGGCTATGTACCGTGCGAAATAAGTTACGCATAATCTACGAATATTGAGCATTTGACATGAAGGTACTGATAGTTGAACACAAGGTGTTGCTGTTGGACCTGTTGTAGACAGTTGATAAGAGGCTGCTACAGTTGAAGTGAAGCAGTTCATCTTTACCGCCCTTTATATGGGCCCGTGGCGCCATTCACTGCGTCTTGTTTGTTTAAGAGTTGAGACTTAGAAGCCACGGCATTCTGGCCACTGTTTCTTTATTGTGCCCAAATCACAATTTTGAGAATCGCCAACCACCGTATGAAATCACAGTGAATTGCGGTGACAGCTCACTGGGTTAAATACTGCACTCGACTCTTAATGCGTGCTGGTTACTGTAAATTTCAATATTACTTTCAATTGCAGCACATTGTTGTTGAACCTTATTCCTAAATCTTGACTTAAAGCTTTCGTGACTGCAGGAATTCATATTCTTGGGTCTTTCGGCAAAGTCATGTAGATAGGTTCAAAGAAAATAAACTACGACGTTTCGATCGCAACACAAGTGACCGCGATCGAAACTTCTTAGATTTTTGTTATTTTCTTTGAACCTATCTACGTGACTTTACCGAAAGACCCACGAATATGAACCTTATTACTGTCCTTAATTTTCATGGCTCTATTGGAAGTAATAAAACTCGACGAGTTTTCACCTTATTAACTGAAGGATAGGGTATATATAATAACATCGCATTAAATCAAGGAATGTTTTTGGGAACTGACTGACTGTAAGCCTCACAATTGTGGTGTTTCTGGATTTGTGTGCTGTTCCAGGACAGAGGAAACAATGTGAAACCCCCTGAACCACTGTGTGTTGGTGAGTCTGAAGGCTTTGTTGTGCACACACAAATAGCTTTGGTCACATTGATAAAAGGCAGAAGTAGATACGTGATCCACGTGATGCGATGCTGTGCGTTCCAGATAGCGTGGCCCAGGGCACTCTCCAGGAGCCAGGGGTGTCCGCGAAGTGTGGCGGAATAAGGCATGAAGAGCGGGCATTACAAGACCTCCATTCCCTCATAAAGATGCACACACGCCTGTACGTGTGTCCAGAGCCATCATTGGTTACTTTCCAGTCACAGTAACACCAACTTATACAGTACCTGAATGCTAATTGTGTTGTTTTTGTAAATCTATACGGCAGTAGATATTAGCACACTGTGATACAAACCTGGCGACTCGAGTTAAATTCTCGCTCACCACAAACATTAGTGGTGAATATCTTAACTGTTGACTACCATGCATAAAACTGTTTGCTATAGGGGCTGTGTGGTCTGTGATGAGCAGCAGAGAGCAATGCAGCAAAAGCCATTGCTGTACTATGTTCCCGAATCTGTGCTGATCGCCTTCACCAAGCCGCAATGACTAATATGGTGAAGTATGGTCATATACCTTTCACAACCCAGCAGTGGATTAACAAAAGGGATATACATGCATATATTGTGTGTATGGATGTGTGATTGTGTGCCGTGCGTGTCACAGGTTTGATGGGGTTCCGGGCCACCGGTCGGCAGGTGGGGGGACCAGAGAGGCAACAAGTGGTGAAGGGGAGAGTGACGGGCAGCCAGCCCACAGCCGCATCACACACGATGCCTACACAGAGACTGGTAAGGGCGGCAGTCAGTCAGCATCACTTCAGACCATGTAGCCTGTCGTGGAGGGTGGCATCAGGCAGATAATATAAGATGTTGCAGAGATAGTGATGTACAAAGTCCAAACAGTTGAAGCCACAACTTCTTACAGGGCAAAATCTATAAATGTATCAACTCTGCCCACTTTTCAGTAATGTGGCTACAATACCAGTAATGTATTATTGCAACTGCAGTGTTGGCAAAAGCGTCTGAGTGGAACATCACCTGTGAAATATTTGATCGGGTTATACAATATGGTTATTTATTTGAGTCAAGGGTGTCTGTAACATACGTATGATACAGAGCCCTCTAATGTCAAGTGATTCTCCGATCCTCGGTACACCGTTTGATTTATCCATTCTGTATGTGCACATTTTAATGATAATAATCTGCATTGATATGGTACCGTAATTCCAAAGTTTTGCATCTGTGTAATTCCAACACAGACGTGACGCTGACATCACAATTGGTCAAGGCGAGACCTGGCTTCACGCACCCACCCGGCACGGACTCCCGTCTCACCTCGCCGAGCAGGGTGGCATCCAGACGCAACCGCCGCAAAAGCCAGAGCTGGGGGATTCGGCACACGAGGGCAAGGCGACCGGGACGGAGAGCAATCCACGGCAACCCCTGCTCAGAGGACCCTGCTTGCTCAAGCCACGTGTCGTGGGAATGTTCAGGTTTGACATTGGTGTTGTGCTGGTGTGCATTGATGTGGATGCTCCAAGTTTAATGGGGATGTATTCCTGTAATCGACTGACTTGGACGTGGGATAGGTGGATCAATTGAGGCTGGTGCCATGTAGTTGACTTTGTGTTCTTCTTGGAAGAACACAAAGTTGTGTGTGACTTATAGGCACTCCCAGTCCACTCATAGTTCACTTAAAGTTTCCTACCCCTTACTATTGTAGGAGACATCGATGAAGATGAGTACGACGATGTTGAAGATGACGCAGCCAGCGATGGTGTTGACAATGGTCTTGCTGAGAATGGCGAGGACAAGAGATGGGACAGTACCACGGAGTGGAAGAGGAAGGAGGCTGACTCTTCGCTGGGGGACCTGCGACACGTCTATGCAGAGCTTGAGGCCATCCACAGCAAACTGCAGGTTCCTTTTCACTGTCTCCTTATGGTTCCGTTCACCCTTTCTGCACTAAAACTGGTCGCCCTGGCGGTTGATTGCACCATTGGTTGGCAGGAAAGACGGTGTTGCTTTTGTGCTTAGCGACTTCCCCTATATGCCGGCGTTTGTTGCCTGTCTGTCTTGCAGCGGGAGAGTGCGGCGCTGGCGGAAAGGGCGGTGAGGGCTGCTGAGCGTGAGGGCCGTCTGGCGGCACGTGAGGAGGAGGTGGCAGTGCGGCATGGTGGCGCGCTGAACAAGTTGCGTGAGGTGCAGGCACAGGTGCAGGGCACGCTGCATGCTTTACGACAGGTGGGTACACAGTTGAAACTATTTTTATTTACCAGATAAGGCCGGCTGAGCTATATAGCTCTTTTTTAGAAGCGACCTGGCCACAAATGATAGCTCAACGAAGTGGCTCATCATGTGGAAATTTATAGCAGCCAAATACTCTACTTAAATTGTCAAAGATATTCTCGCACACCATGGATGCCAAACTTGTTTATGCTTAGTTAAACAAATTAAGATCTATAATTATACAGAATATAGGGGAAAATACTGTTAGTGAGCACCTATTAGGCCAGCATGGCACAACTGGTCAGCCTGGCCTCCCTATTGCTGATTATGTTTTTATTAATATACTGCATTTTGTACTCGTTTAAGTCTGAGTTGATGGAGAGGAAACCAGGAGAGGTTAAATCGGTTGGGAATATAATTCTGGTCGCTAAGTGAGTAGCACAGTGTACTGACCACTGCTCCTCTAGAGACAACACGCATACTTACACGGTTAAACTCTTGTCCAGCAACAATACATTACGTCGTCCACCCAGGCTCTGGCTGGATTATGCATATGCGTTACACACCCGTGTCTGACTGTCAAGGTGACAAACCTTTGGAAAGCTGCTCGTGAGCCGTTCGCTTTCCGTATCCCACAGCAACATGCTGCTGAGGTGCAGGAGCTGAGCGAAGCACTGAGAGAGAAATCCCGGGAGAATAAGCGAATAAAAGCCTCGTTTGACACACTGAAGGATATGAACGATTCCCTAAAGAAGCAGGTAAGTTTAACAGTAAAATGCAATTCACATTTGATCCTTATGGCGGTACCCCGGGGTACCAAATAATACAATATGGCCGAGACAATTAAATATTTTATTTCTGGGACATTTTTTTTCCAGGGGTTTACTTAACTCCGCGACTGGGGGTACCAAGGATATTATACGAGAGCCGGGGTACCGCCATAAGGTTCATTTTTTTCTCATAGATTGTTTTTTTTTGAGTGCTGTTGTCTCTTAGTCATCATGGAAATAGTATTGTCTACATCCCCTGAAGAGACATTTATTTTTGTTGATTACGAATATTGTTGTAAAAGCAGTGGGTCAAGGCGGTTATGTCCATCTACTATTAACCCCAGCCACACATCAGTAAATGAATTAGCAGTTGTCTACAGTAAGGCCTTAAACCAGAGGTTGGCAAACCTGAGGCTCCAGAGCCGCATGCGGCTCTTTTAATGACTGCTTCGTGACGTTATTCACGTGCATTGTAGGTCTTGAAAATCGTATTTTTTTTTACCGAATTCGAAAAAAAAGGCTCTTGTTATTTTGGTTGCTGATCCCTGCCTTACATTCCCCTTTATCAGGATCTGTTTTGGTTTTTATTGTGGAGGGAATATTGGTTTTAACATAGATTGTTTGGTTTTTAGATACTTATATATGAGAGTAGTGTGTTATCAGGGGGTTTGTGGCCGATTTCAAAATAGCTTCAATACTGCCACCTCAACCCCTCTCTCTGTTGCCCCAGATGAGTGAGCTGACGGATCAAAATAAGCGGCTGGAGACCCAGTCACACCGCGTGCAGCAGCGGTTGGAAAACCTGCAGGTAACAGCAGGCATCACAAATCAAGATATGCGAAGGAATTGCATTAAAGTATCAAAGCAAAATGTGGATTAATTTCACGTAACGGCTGGTAAGGAAATCTGTGCATCTTTTCCTGAATAATTGGAGCATCACTCCTTGCTGCGTTGTGTGCATTGCCTCTGGCACTTTGTCCATCCACATTCACCATTGTGCCGTCACGGTTGGTGCACCCTGCAGAGGAAGTTTGACTTCCAGCATGCGCAAAAAGGACGGACTGTGCTCCTCACGCAGGCCCACAATGGCCAGTTGCGGAGAGCGTTGGAAAAGCCAGACAAACAGCCGCCACTGCAGCCTCACAAGGTCAAGGTAACCTGGAATGATGTCAACACAGTGCACTGACTGCCAAGTATGTAGCAATGAATCCCCACTGTGATTTGATAAATGTCACGATTTGTGGTTGTGATTAGATTCGAGAATCTGTTCTCTTTGGTCTCTTTTTTATGTTTCTTTTGTGTGATTTTTTTTTATTCTTGTACAGTTGTATTTATACCATAAACATGTAAATGTATACATTTAGCAGAAATTAGTATTCAGGAATATATAATTATCACAACATTGGATAGATGTGTTGTAAGTGTAACAATCAATTTGATCTATTAAACTGCATTATCACTTGCCTGTTGACTGCTCATGGCACCCTCTTTTTAAAGATTGTGCGTGTTATTCAGTTTGCTGACGAGAGTGTCATTTACATGTAGCAGATGAACATGACTAGGGCATCTTTGTGTCTTTGCCGTGGGCTTTGGTCGCCAGCAAGCAAGTGTGGGGCTCTGTGAGCTTCTGGGGCTGCTGCTGTTGTGGGTGCCGGATCTACACCCCTCACCAGACCCGAACGTCGCTCTCTCGCTGGAGAAATGCAGCAAGGTGGCGCCCACCTCCCATCAACACTGCATACCCTGATTATTAATTTACTGCTTCTAGTGATGGTGCCATGAGAAGGGGAATCCTGCAAAATCACTCATTGTAGTCCCCCTGCCTCTTATTGCACATATATGCATCTGCTGGGGATCTGTCATTATTTACCATTTTCATAGAGATAAACACCTAATAATAAAGCCCTGAAGATAAAATACTTCAAGATTGTTAAAGAGATCATGGCATGATATTGAATTCTAAGCTGCTGTAATTTTAGGGTTCTGTGGTTTTAATGTTTAAAATATGTTTCATTTGTGTAGCCAGCATCATGTTGTGATTTGCAAACATTCTCATTCATAACTATGACATGTTAAAGAATGGCATTTGGAAGCTGACATCACTGAACTAGTTGTGAAGTTTCGGCATTTGCCTCTAGTCCACTCTATACAGTGCCACCTTTTCACATTCCCTACTATGGAAGTGTTTGTTATGTGGCAATTAATCCGATAATGTTTGGTCGTCAAAGTTAGAATATTCCAATTTAAGTGAAAATTAATTGTATTCGTGGTTGATTCATTTTATTTAACCAGGTGAGAACCAATACAAATAGTGTCGTTTTTGTGCCGTCATCATGACGAGGCTGAGACCAACAGACTTGGTATGCTTAATCACCTTGACACTTTATCAGGAATCGTTTTAGCACAATACAAATAATACTTTTCTTTCATATATCTACGTGAATATGAAAATGAGTAGAATTGCTTCACTCTTTAAGCGGATAGGACCAATACTTAGTGGTCTAGCAAGATATTGCCTTCTCATGTCAACACTATAGAAAGCTCATGTCAATGACTTTACAAAAGCATTACTATCTGAGACAGTGACAGCATGTCCCCTCATGACAAAGGGAAGATATACAAAAAATATATATACATACCACTGCTTGTGTTTTATCCTGTATGTTTGACCGTGTAAAGACTGCTGTAGAGATTAAGTCATCATAGAGTGTGCCGTTTACATTTCAAGGGTTATGATTTTTTTATATTCTTGGAGTTTCCAAGCAAAAGGGAGCATCAACAAAACACCAGAACAAATGTTAAAGTAAATACGGAAGTCTAGTAAATCTGTGCCAATGGTTGAGCTGCCTTGAAGGATACATACACATCGAGGTCCTTCAGTCATCATGGGGAAAAGGCTACAGCGGCAGCTTTGTTAAAATGAGAGCGGGATCCATAATGTGATGCATTCGTCACTGCGATAACCATTGCTTGCTTTCAATCATTACTACGAGTCGCTTATTATTTGCACTGTTTTAATCACTGCCTGCTTACGACTGACTGTTGGCTAGTTAATTTCTGCACCATTAACCATTGTAAACACGAGTCATTACTAATTGTTGTCACTGACTGCTTCACATTATTTTTTTGAACCACGGCGTGCTGCACAAATTACTGCTTTACCACTGCCTCCGGGCTCACTACCATAATTACAGGTAGTCCCCGACTTACAATGGTCCGACTTACGATATTTCGATCTTACGATGGCGATAGCGATATGACAAAATTGTAAAATATTTTACATTTCGCGCGGCAGGCAAACACAGCAGCGTATGAGGTACGATACTGTATGTTGGGACGCTGCCGGGATGTACTGTACGCATATAGTTTATACAGTACGGTACTGTAAATTGCTCTGTTTTGCTAAATTATCACCATTCTTTAAGACTCCTAGGTAGGCTAGGTCATATTTTCGACTTACGATATTTTTGACTTATGATGGGGTCGTCGTAACGCATCTCCATCGTAAGTCGGGGACTACCTGTACTACCCTATGTCGAGCTTGAAACATTCTCTGCTGCCCATCCAATTGTTGCACCTTTATTTACTGCCGTACTATCTGCTGCACCTCCAACTGCTGCCTCACTAACCGCCACCCTCTTGCTGACTAGGCCCTGACACTGGTCGTGGAGCAGCTCTCCTCCGTGCCATCCGTGAGCAAGAGGCTGCAGCTGCCACTCGTCAATTTTGTGCTCTGGGCTCTGGGCCGCATGGATGGGACCTCACAGGTAGCGTGCACCCTCCATGGCACTACCTCTGTCTTTTATCCCTATCACCATGACTTCTGTCAGGATTCCCCTACGCCTGTGCATGTGCTGTCTCGTCTCCTCGTGGCTCCAGCACACGACACTCACCGCGACGTACCGGCGCCTGGGAGAGGAGCTGTTCAAGCCGAGCGGGAGCACGCGCGGAGCAGAAGGGTCGGCTGAGTCGTCGCCTGAGCTCAAGCCCCATTTGGGGGGCAGCTTCTTTAGGAGCTCGGAGCCCGAGGTTCGACTGCTCTCCTCGCTCGTCATCCTCCGCACCCTCTCGCAAGGTGTGAACCAATTTCAACGAGAGCCCAGAGCACTTATACAACCGCAGCAATAACCCCATACTTATAGTACCCTGACCCCTAATACAATTCAATACAATTTGGATATATCTCATGGTGCTGAGCAAATAGGGAGAATGTGCATATCTTGGTAGCATGTTGAACAGAGGGTCTTTTTGTGAGTTTTTTTTCAAAAGGTAGAAAAGGTAGGAAAAGATACTGCGGCATGAAGAAAGACGAGACAACAGTGAGGTGAGAATTAAGACATGTCATGGAAGGTCTTGAGCGAAGACTTGAATGTGGGAAGGGTCTGGACATTGCCAACAGTTAAGGAGAGGGTTGTGAGGGTAACTGGGGCAGCAGAGATGGTGGCCTTCATTTGAAAAAGTTGTATGGGGGTTTTGACAAGGTCTTGATTTCTGTAATAGAGAGGGTGGAGTGGAGTAGAGATGAGAGGGGGATAGGTCGGTGGGGATAGTACATTGGAAAATCTTAATGACAGGAATACTAGCTGTTGCCCTAGCGTTAACACTAACCCCAATCGTAGCCTTAATGTATCATGGCATTTACTACAAGGAGCTGCTACGATATAATGATCAGGACACTGAATCAGAATCTTTATTTAGACTGGAGGAATCTGAGTTATGAAACTCTTTTTCACAGATGTCCAGTGTAGGCAGGTCAGCAAGTTACAACAACAAACTGAATGCATAGATCACCTGTTAGATTCCTTCTTCTGGATCAATAATTGAAACAATTGCCAATGTTTCTTAAATCCACCCACCTCTGTCCACCCAGCAGTATAAATATGTATACACTCAATCAGCGGGGGGTCACATGTGGTGGGCTAAAGTGTGGGGTACACCCTCATTCAATACGTGCAAGAATAGACCAAATACCATCCGGAGTTTGCGCTAGTAGAGGCAGTTCTGCCAGCAGTTGCATGAGCAAGCAATTGCATTGGCTGCCCTTTTTTTTACGTTTTTAACAACCACATTTTAATATAGCTATTCAAAATACTTAACTTTAAAACCTTAACCATACCAATATCCCTTACCTCAAACTTAAATATTATCTTTATAAAATGGCAAATGACTGGAACTGTATAACAACCCACAGCTTACTCGGAGAGTGTGTGATGTGTGCGGGTGTCCACAGCGGACGTGTTGGCACAGGTGCTGGACAGCGTATGCTCAGACCTGCAGAGTGAGCAGAGCAAGCGGCTTTTTGTGAGGCACGGCGGCGTGGCGGTGGTCACGGCGCTGCTGACGTCGCCCTGCAGGGGGCTCTTGGGCGACGCTGTGGGCGTCCTACTGCTGCTAGCGATGAGCACAGATTCCGGTACAGCACATCCCCCCCTCTCCCGTTGCACGCGGCCGCCCAGCTACAGTCTTGAGTCAAAGAAAGAAGCAACACCTAAAAAACACATTCTTCTTATCTTGTAGTTATTAAACATGTAATTAAGTCACGATTGTGATGCATTTAAAAAATATGTGAATCCTTTTGCTTGGTCTCATTTGCACAAGACAAGTATGAAGCTTTGTTCATGAGAAAGGGCTGTAAATGTAGATGCTCATACGTGTGCTGGTGCATGTCTGCGTGTTCAGGCTGTGTGGAGGAGTTCCTGGCGGCGTGCAGCACAGAGGTGTGGTTCCGCTCATGCTCTCAGCTGCTGCGCACGCCACATCTTGACCCGCTAATCCCAGAGAAGATGAGTGTCATCTTGCAGAAGCTCTCCAAGATCAAGTACGACCCATGACGGGGGTCGGACTGCATAGCACACTGTCAGGGGTTGAAGCAGGATTCCAACCGGTGTGCCCTCAACTTGGAGGACACACTACAAAGCATAGAGCGCTCATTTTCAGTTAGTGCTCCTTGACGGAAGTGTATGAATGAAGCAGACAGTATTTCTATAACATCTTGTTTGTAACATTCAGATGCATACACAGTCACTTCAGTCAAAGAATAATGACATTTATTTGTCCAGGAATGCCTCCTGGAGTCTCAAGAATTTGTCTCCAGGGTCCTAGATTGTATGTTGAACGTATTTTGCAGTGTACATAGCCAACTGCGAATTGGAGGTGTGGGGGAAGGACAACAAACTAACACACAAAAAGCAGTTTTAAACAAATGAGTTTTCAATCTAGATTTAAAAGTGCATAAAAAAGATTTAGATGTTTCGCCAAATATTTGAGTTTTACACGTCAGAGAAAACCCGAGTGCTACTGGGTCCTGCCCCCCCCCCCCCCCCAGCAATAAATTAGAAAATTGTCAAGCTCTGGAAACATCAGCACTGGGGAGACGATGGTGGCTGGGTGTGTGTTTGGCCAAACCACCTTCCCATAGCCTATGCCAACGTTAGTAGATGCTTGCTAACATCACTTGTGTTTAGTGTATGAAAGATATATGGAGTATCTATCATAATTTATTTGTTAGGCCATATAATTTTGCCAAATGTGTCAAGAGAGCCTCCACCACACATAGCAAAACCAATTAAATTGTAACGTGTAAAAATATTTAACATGTCCATTATTGTTTCAGCTCACCGGTAAGTTGAAAAACAATTATCACATTTAGCAAATCGATATGTTTAACTTGCAACTATGCTAATCATATTGAGCACAAGATCCAGTAAGAATAAAATCCAGGATATCAAAATAACTTGTTCAATTGAGCTGGCTGCTTAAATATGTATCTGTGTGCTTTTGTGCAGGACTAACCGGCGCCTGTTCGAGGCATGCTCCCTTCACATCCAGCTGCAAGAGATGCTGCGCACAGCCGAGCCACATCAGGTGTTTCTGACTGTCAACCTGCGCTCCACCCTGCACCAGCTAGATGTATTCCGGGGAACCTGCACCTGAGGGTCCCATCCCTCACTGCTCGACGAATGGGATGGAGGGATAGGAGTCCACCTGATGGTGCCGTCTGCTTTATCCGTAAGCACATGGTGAGCTTACCATTAAAATGCACTCCCCTGGACAGCCAACCTCCTGATCAGTTTGTACCAAGTCAGGCATTTTTTTTCAATTGCAGTACTGTCATTTGTATAGACTTGCCACAGCATGCAGTCTGTATGTAGAACTTCTTTCACACCGTACGTAGCCAAGCATGCTAAGCGGAGGCTCCGATGATGTAGAGTGGATGTTAATTATTCTAACATAATTTAACGTGTCGGAGGCAGTCTAAATCCCAAGTATGGAAATTACATGCATCCGAGTTGGGAATTTTACTTGTTCTTTCACGTATGTATTTTTTTACAATGAAGACAATCTCCAACATCAAATTTTTCTAAATAAAGGATGTGCTATATCAGTTCTGACTGGTATAATGTTTTAAGTGTGAAGTCAATCCCAGTCAAGGCTGCGGTGCATGCACAATGTTGATGTTATGGCGACTAGTTTTCAAAGACAAGGTGCCACACAGGTGATCCAGTGCTTTAGTAGCAAAGGTTTGTGAATAATGCAGATTTGTGAACACTTGAAACCTCTTTTTCTGCGTGGTTACCAGATTACAGTAAATGGGTTGTTAAATTCATCTATCCAGACACTTGTTTGTGGTAGGGTACTATTTAATTTTATATTTATGAAAAAGGGATCTGATACTACCTTCTAATAAGCACGGTTTTCTCCAGGTACTCATTTCCTCCCGTGCACATAAAAATGGAATTGGCCAATATTCCAATGCAGGACATTATAAAAGATCTACACATTTCTTTAGTTACCCATAAGTCTATAAAAAGACACCAGCACACTTGTGTACAAAAACAACCTTTATTTTTTTCACGATAAAACATGTTATTTCATCCAGGCTGTAAAAACATCAATCCTCCACGACACGCTTTGCCTTATCCTGTAATTTTATCAGGCGAGCGAGCTTCTGATGTTGGTCAGGTATCTTTCTACACAGGCAAAGGTGAAGCCGTTGTTTGACAAAAGAAGTTGACATTTTACTTGCAGTGTTGCTGTTTTCGAAGACCAACTACAGCAGAACCTCGATTGTCCAATATGCAGGTGGATGCCCAAGGAAATGACCCCAACATACAAGTTTATCTTGTTGGCCACCCAGTGGCTCACATCAGGTGTGCAGTCATTACTTGCCCTGGGTTCAATGCACAATTCTATCATTCACCCAAATTGTGAGCCAATGGGGAAAAATAACCCGGTGTAAGGTCCCATTTAATGGCCAATAGATCAGGCAATGTGACCCTACTGCTTATACCGGTCTTTTTTTTAGGAATATGCTATTTATTTAATGTTAGCAGCCCTAACCATAACCATGTGTCCATCAGGAAGTAAACACCTGATATTTAAAAATGTCTACTCAGGCCTCATCCTGGGACTTCGTCTCCTTCCATTAATGCAAACAGCCTTCTGACTAATCCTATTGGAGTGGCTTATGTAGTAAATAAAGGTTATGTGCTTACATTTGTTCTTTAAGGGTGCAATGAAAACACACCTCAATAAACTACAAAACATGCTTTTACTCCACAACCTACAGAATTTTTCTGGGTACAATGCACTGAATCTGTCCTGTGAGCTATGAACATGACATGTCAATGCAGAAAAACCTGAGCTAGAACGCATTTTTCCACAGTGCAAAGGGTTCAGTTTCTTCTTTCATCAATGTCTGAAACCGTGAAATGCACTCTTTGGCGCTGAAGCTGACAAAAAAGTTTACTTACACGGGTCAGCCTATTAAGTCCACGTATCTGATCGCCGCCCACCCCCTTCGACTAACAGTATCAGAGGTTCTGTAAAATTAAAACTATGACCTGGCCAAATGGAAGATGGTTCAGGTGGTAGAGGCGGTCACATCTCAGCTGATGATTTGTCTTAATTTACTCCTGAAGGTTTGTCCTCGAAGACCAAAGTGCATATTTACTTAAACCCAACATTGCAACTGTGTGGCTTCTTTAAGGGAGGTGAAAGAAAATGAAAACAAAACAGAAAAAACGAAAGTAATAATTGCAATAACACTTTTGTTAATATGCACAAATTGCAACATTTTTCTTAAAAATAAAAAAGTAGTTTGACCGTACGCTGCATGAGACGCCTTTCCTGACGCCACCACTGTTCATTAGTGCGCGTGGTTTACACAGTTCATTGAGACGGCTCGCAGGTACTCAACAGGAACAGCTTTCCCACTGGGTGAAGGACACGATGCTAGCCGGTGACTTGAAATAGACATGATTTATGTTGTGAAGCAGGTGGTGATGGGCCTGAGGGGGCAGATCGGATACATTTGGTAGTTTTTTGGAACGGTACGGTGTGTTGGAGAGTGAAATGTTAGGTTAGAGAATAGTTTGTCAAGTGAGAAGCAGAAGGGTATGTAAATAGAATTTTAAAGTGAATGGTTCATTGGTGTGGAACATGAATAGAAGTATGGTTTTGCTTGGACAGCTAGCTGGAGTTTGACTGAGGGTGAGCTCTGAGGTTGTGTAGTGTTCTAATGAAGACGGTGGTTTTCAAAGTAGGAAAACGGTCTGGAAAGTAGGTGATCGAGTTGATGAGTGAGTCGAGACTGTGTTTGGTCCTCAGAAGATGGTGAGCAGGGCAAAGACACCGTAGAGTAGGGCACATGGGTAGGCGACCAGGAGCTGTTGGCCCTGCATTGCCAAGGCTGAGATGAAGAGCTTGGAGGCCGATAGGCTACACCAGCCAATAATCACGGCTGCTAACACCACACCCACCGTACCCCTGCACACAGCACAGCCACGCAAAGTACAAAACAAGACATCGGCTCAATTTAGATTTTAGTGACCTATGATTAAACCAGGTTCTCAAATATAGTGAGTTTCGACTCCAAAAAACCCATCACATTAAATTTGGTTCTGCACTCATTTTGAATTCTAGCGTTGTCATGCCATAAACATTTACTGTGCAAGGCTGGTTGAGAAAGTGCTGTTTCCTGCTGTATAAACCAGAGGTCACTTGAAGGGATGTCAGAGGTAGCCAAAGGCAGAGTTTGACTTGTATATTTGGGGGGGGCAGGGTTTTGCTTTGTCTCTCACATTCGGAATTGTGGGCACATGTAATTTTAGTTTTTATATCTTAATTGTGAACTACTGAAAACAAATTAATAAATGCGTCCAGTTTAGGGGGGGGCATTGCCCCCTCCTGTCCCCCCCCAATCTCCACCAATGGAGGAAGCTTTGTGGTACATGCTTCCATGGGCTCATTTAAAACAAACGTGGTTTTCTGTCAGAGGTCTGAATAGACACGGTTATGACACCATTGGCACAATTGAGATAAAAGGGGGTAAAAACACCCCGCTAAAATAACAAAAATCACGTCTATAATTATTACAACCAGCTGAATGTCAGGAAAGTCCAAGCAATAACGATAACTACCTCATTGTATGTTTGACAAATAATGTTTTTCAAGGTTGAAATACTTACACCTTAAAGAGTCTATATATATTTAGATTCAGTACTTTTCAAACTCCAGTCCTCATGACCCCCCATGGTGTAGTTTTCTGTGATTGCCATTCTGTTAAATTTAAATGCAAATCACGCTGCTACATATTGCCGGCACGTCATGCTTGGCAATCAAGAAAAGCTGCGCAAGAGGGGGTCTCGAGGATGAGTGTGTTTTGGGATAACACTCAGGAAAACATTCTAGTTGATGAGGCGGTATAAAATCCAGTAGGCATATAACAAAACATCAATTAACATCTATTATGCTCCTGACACATGCGTGAAAGAATGCATATTTTTTTTATGATATTAAAAGGTTTACTTTCAGCTAATGGAACAACTTAGACAGGAAACAAAGAGTTTTGAATCATGACCCTGAATCGTTGCAAGTCATCAAATCGCAGGGGAGGCCAAACGTTGAATGCTAGGTATTCAGTATTTCAGACTGGAGACCTGGCCTGGTGTTGTAAGTGCATCTGAGAGGGGGCATGCAGCGGATCACTCACTTGAGCGAGAAGAGGATGGCGCAGCCTGAGAGCAGCACCATGGGCAAGAGGCAGTAGCCAAGCACGCTGGCCACGCAGCCAAATGACACCCCCGTCATGCTCATGAGGTTCAGCAGAGAGAAGACGGCCAGGCAGCCGATGGCACTGATGCCGTACACATAGCCAAACTGCACCTTGCCAGCCTGTGACAGCACCACCGCACACACGGGTCCAGAACCAAAAAAAGCATTTACACAATGTCAGCATTCTCATTGTTTACATGTTACGTTATTTGTATTGTGGGCCAGCGGAGCTGTCTCATTGCAGTGCATTACAGAAAGATTAACTTAAAAACTGAGCAAATGGACACCCTAACAGATCCAATTCCTTGTTTGTTTTTACGATTATATGTTTGAGGCATTATGAATAAGCTAAAATATAATTTTTCTATATACGTGACTTTACCAAAAGACCCAAAGAGTATAAAATATTAGCTAACCCCGATTTACAGGAGGAAACCAAATAAACCACAATGCTGGTGATCAGCTATTTCAATTCTGTACATTTTGGTGGAGTTTAAGGTGCATTTTGTATTGCAGTACATGGTCTATGGGCCCCATTACCGTTTTGGTGAATGTTGCTTTTTGTGCAATTTTTTACAAAACATGTCAATGTCTGTTAATGGGAAAAATCACAAGGCAAAGTGCTTTAGCTTTCATGTCGAAATATGAATGTGGCACTATCATAGAAAAACATTGAATTCCACGTCTGTGTATTTCAAGGCACTCTGCTCGAATAGTAGTCTTCTTAGGAATAATCTCTAATTATGAGGTTTATCTGAGCAGATGTGCATCATGAGTGGAATGGCGAGTGTTCCCACCAGCAGCAATGTGGCCCCGAAGGCGAGGCAGAAGACCACGGGCCCCGCCATGTCCGTCTCGTTCACTATGCTGCCATCGGCGATCTTGAGCGGGTTCAGTACTGTCAACGTCTTCTGCCAGATGTGGTCAAAGTTTATTCCCAGCTCTAGAGTCGCAGGTGTAGGGGTCAAGTGGGAAGAAGCCAATCAGACAAAACCTCTGAAGAAAAACATTACATGTGACTACCCGACTTGGCAGAAGAAGAGGTGGGGCCATGTGGTGCGATCGGACATGGTGGCTCGAGGAGCGGAAAGAGAGATGGCGCAGGACAGGGCAGCATGGAGAAGGTTGGCAAGGATAGCAGACCCCACATTGAGTGTAACAATCGGGTGGGAGAAGAAGACTACCCGACTTGGCCAGTGGTCAGGTGCATAACAGCTTCAGACTAAAATATAATCCAAAAAAACATCTCTAATCTTTCTTTTTAGACACATCGGCTGTTTCCAGGGCTTGGGAGCGTCAGATTTAGGCTTCGTTAAAGATCATTTTGTTTATAAATAAAGGAATTATCATGATGGTAAAGCACACGCTATAACAATTCTAGAATTGTGAAACTCTCAAATGTGATGTGGGCAAATGGCAGTAAAGAAAATGGGTCCATTGTCTGTGTTGACCTCTGAGTGTTATCCTCTCATATTCTTCATTTTTCTGAGTATCGGAAGTTTTCTCTTACATGAAATGAAGCACTTGTTAAAGATTATTTTGTTTATAAATAAAGGAATGATCAAACTTCATATCGCAGGACCACCCCCTGAAAAATTATCTTGACACTCAGATTTTTCTGGATATGGAAATTATATTATTATGTATGTATCTGAAGTATGTCTGCTTAAAAATGGTTGTCAATCGTTCGATGTTGAAACTGACTCCAAGAATTTCTTCCCTGATTCTTGAGCTTCTTTTGAGGGGAGTTATGTCAATGTCGGGCTCTACGCCTATCATGCAATGAGGATTTCCAGGTTAATTAACTAACAATTACATTTAAATATATATAACAGCTTGAGCTATTTCACATGCATATGTAGTGCCACAGCGCCGCCTGCTGTCCAACAGCGACAACAGTTGGCTCACACGCCGTCGAGCATAGACACGGCAGGACTGAGGAACTGGGGCAAGGGTCACGGAAGACCTCATCGGGAGGCCCCTGGAACCCCCTCGTGGGTTCGAGAAGGGAGGTGCAGCCAGGGCAGAGCCAGGCCACACCGAGTAGACTAAAAGCAGCGGAGAGCGAGAGCTCGGGGATGCCGGTTCGGGGAGTGAACTCGTTTCGTCATTGCTGCCGCCTTCGCCCGATAATTGCGCGGTCGGACAGTAGTTGGCTGTCTCGGTCGACGCCGTCCGTGCAACGCGGTCAGGGTTGTGTCTAGGTCGGGCTGTACGGCAACGTGGTCGAGAGAGGAGGCGATCCGTGTGAATGAGAACGGCCGGAGTTGGTGTAATGGAAATAGAGAGAAGGTGCCTCCTGCAACTACCTCATCTCCGACTGAGTGTGCGCTACACACAAACACCGAGGACACTACACATGTAACAACTCACCCCTGTCATCCTTTAATGAATTGTCAGAATTTGGAGTCATATTAAAAAACGATTGTCTCATTCACACCATATGATTTGCATATTCTAACTGTTCTCATTTGTCCTGTCTAGTTCACACCATGAGCCCAAAAAAAACCTGCTTTAATTGGCATACTTTGTAAGAAATAATTTCTTTTGTACGTGACTTACAGGTTTCTTAAGGATAAGTATCAATGAAAATGGGTGAATTAATGAACGAATTATATTTCCAATCCAGGGACATCCCAGCTGTGTAAAAGGGCCTCACCTTCGAGAAGAGGTGGCTCGTCGTCGAAGCTGCTGCCATATGTGTTTTGTAGGGGCGCAGGTGCCGTGTATGGCTGTGCCGGCTGGAAGATCTGCCCTGCGTAAGCCTGCTGGGATGGGGGAACGTATCCCGTTGGAGGCACGTACGCGTACGCGCCAGGGGGAACACTGCAATGCACACAGCACCCACCGGCGGAAAGATTGCACACAAGAGCACTGCACCTCGCGACTTTCCTATTTTTTCCATTTTGCATTATACAGCGTCACCACAACCTTGACTGGCCAACATTGTGAAGTATGGTCAAACAACCCCAAACAACACGGTAGCACTTCACCACCTGCCCAACCAAATTAGAGTAATAATTGTCCCGTGACAAGCAAAACTGATCTTTTTTTCTCAGCCACCTTAATTGTTTTTCTAATTGTGTAATTATCATGATCACAGTGTATAGCAGATATACATATAAATACACTTCACAAACGGTTTATCCCACAATGTCCAGTGAAGTGAATATATACATAATTATATTCTATGATTTATGGTGTTACTGTTATTGCGAATTGCGACCCAACACCAGCGGGTTAGTGGCAAAGAGCAGGCTCATGCATTGCATTAGTACAGTAATCGTGAGAAGCCATGTTTTTCATTTTAACTGAATAACGCTAAGGTGTTTGCTACTGTGTGGCTCACCAAACGTGTGGTACACCCCTGGTGTATCACACCTTGAGTGGGACACTTAAGGCTGCTGCCACTATACCACCGCACCACATCGGGTTCATGCCAATCCAGCCCAGCAAAGCAGCTCAGGAAGCTTTAGGTTATTTTTCCAGTGCAGAACCAAAGCTGTGCCACTCAAGTCACATGCAACGATTAATCCCGCCTCTTGTCCTGCTTGGTCCCGAGACAGATTTCAATGTATTGTGAGGCCAGAGTTTCACAGTTTGGTTCTGACACAGCTCAGCAAACAGCCAGTGAAAAACTACTCATTGTGAGAGCCCCACGCTGGCAAAGCTCGAATGTGCCAGTGGAAAATTGGTATGAGGGTAAATGCTGCTGCAGGGAGGATGAGTACATGGTGGAGCTGTGGTCACGCACCCAGTCTCATACTGGTTTCCACCCTGGGCGTAGTTGAAGGACTGGCCCTGGTCCTCGTAGCTGTACTCGGAGTTGTAGAAGTCCGTGGCGATGTGCTCTGGCTTGCCGAAGTTGGACATTTTTAGTCTTCGTCTTGTTGCCTTGGAAAGAAAATTGGTTGTTAGAAATATGTAATACATGAAGTAAATGGAAATCCTCGTGTCAATCCACTACTGGATGAAGGTCTCCCAACACTTTGTCGGTCATGAGTGTTTGTTTGAGTGCACCTCACGCTGGGTAAGTGCAGGTTGGTGGAGGAAGGGGAGGTAAGGGATCGGCCACCGCTCCATCTCCACCACACATTCGATGCATATCAACACGTGTTATATTCCGACACGAGCCGCTTCATTCATATTACTTCAAATCACTTTGGGATTAAATTGGCTGTAATGCTATCCGCTCCCATTAATTCATAACTTTTCTTTAATAGTGTCACACGAACAATTGTAATTAGTCAATGTCAGTTATTGTAATGTTACTACAGTAAGCTGTAATCGCTAACTCACCCTGGTTCCTCATCACCAGATGTTCAGCCACAAATCAACAAACCGTGTCACCTTCATTTCCTTTTGTGGCCCTGTCACCAAAGCTGGACCCTTCCATATTCCCATGGCGCGAACTATCTATAGGGCACCAAACTCGGATTAAAATGGATAGCAGCTACTCGCCTCGGTTTACTCCCAACAAAGGGATGTAAGAAATTAGGAATATATTTAATGGTGAGTTTTAAATACAGAAAAACCAGGCGAGCCACTGTCACCTTGCATATGTCACGAGTGTAATACAATACAGGACCTAATTAGGCGCTGCTACTGAGACGTCAGTGGTGCACAAACACAAACAATAACACACTCAACACATTCTTTACAGCGCATCGTGTGGTGTGGAGGGCCAACATCCGAAATGTCACATTCTGTATTTAGTGCGTTTCCCTATAAAGGCCACGGTGTTATTGACGAATGCGTCGGGAGTTTACAGCAGTGCGACTGCCCGCCTCGCTTCTCACGTCACAAACTCCTTCTTCAACCAACATCTCGCGTCGCACGCCTCGTGAAACGCGTGGCCGCCGGTCCGATCGGGCCCGGCACGGCGGCCTGGCACGGCTCGGTCCGGGTCGCCCTCCCTCCGCCCCGAGCCACGTAGGCAAATTCCCGCTAGGCGACCCCCCCTCCTCCTCCTCCTCATCTCTCTCGGATCCCACGCTTGCCCTGTGCCCGGGGGGGGGGGGCCCAACTACCCGCACAGTCGCCGCCGGCTGCCGGGAGGCCGCGGAGACGAGGCAGAGGCCCTCACCTGCTGCGGTCGTTACCGGAGACGTTGGACGACGCCGCGGCCCTTCTCGACTCGGCTCGCTGGAAGCGAAGAGCCGCCGTTGTCACGCGAAATGACGTCACGCGAAACGGAGAAATGACGTCACGAGAAATGGAGACATGACGTCACGCGAAACGGTGGAATGACGTCGTCACGGATCGCGTTTCTGCTGCTTAGAAAGATGACGTCATCCGCGAAAGACAAATGTTTATATGATTTACTACTTTAATGATACAAGAATGTCTGTGTGTTCCGCGCGTGACGTCACTCCACGTCGGCCAGCCCCCCTCGTTAATAATCATGATCAGGTGACGTCACTCCACATCGAACATCCCCCTCTTTAATAATCATTAACAGGTGACGTCCTCCAAATGGACACCACCCCCCTCATTAATATTAATTAGCGGGTGACGTCACTCCACATGGGGGGGGGAGCGAGGCGCCTCCTCCCCCCTCCTCGGCGTCAACTCACAACCCTCACTACAAAGGCAGAACCCTCACGTCACGCCATCTCCGTCAGGCTGCTGTTGAGACATCAAAGTAAACACATTGTCCTGCGGAGGGAGCTGGTAGGAACGTTGGGTTGCTCGGTCAATGGCCTGCAGGGTCAACGGCGGCGTGGTGTATTCCGCAAATATGCCCGACTGTGAGGGCGGGCACAAGCCGGCGTGAGTAGGTTCAAACGTTGAGTTTTATAAGGGCACCACGGGGTGACCAGCCCCTCCCTCCCCACCCAGCCCCACCCCTCCCACCCAGCCCCACCCTCCCCACCCAGCCCCTCCTCACCCTGCCCCACCCCTCCCACCCCCCACCCAGCCCCTCCCCTCTCACCCCCCACCCAGCCCCACCCCTCCCACCCCCCTACCCAGCCCCTCCCCTCCCACCCCCACCCAGCCCCTCCCCACCCAGCCCCTCCCCACCCTCCCCTCCCCACCCAGCCCCTCCCCTCCCACCCCCCACCCAGCCCCATCCTGCACGACGGACGGACACAATAATCCCGTGGGCTGGTGTAACCAGGAGGTTCCTACCAGTAAAAGGACGTCATAATGAACAAGGGATTATCACCTTTAAATGCAACCGCAACAAACAAAAACATGAACAAGAAAACATCTTAAAGTGAATTTCGATTTTAAGCTTTCGTGACTGCAGGGATTCATCTTCTTGGTTCTTTCGGTAAAGTCACGTAGAAGGGAAGTAATAAAATAAAAATATAACAATAAAATAATTCTCACGACGTTTCGGCCACAACGCAAGCAGCCGTCCTCAGGTGAAGACCAGGTCTCCCCGACAGACCTGTTCTCCACCTGAGGACGGCTGCTTGCGTTGTGGCCGAAACGTCGTGAGAATTATTTTATTATGTTTTATTTTTATTATTTTATTACTTCCCTTCTACGTGACTTTACCGAAAGAACCAAGAAGATCTTAAAGTGAGTAAGCGCAAACAGAAAAATGCATGAAAAAAACAGCAAAGTCTTCAAAAACAGTGGGTCGTGATGTTGGTATTGTCCGAAAGTGGCATACTGCCAATCCACACGATTTAGCCCGATTATTGTCAGGTCCATACGGCGTACAGCCGTTTCAATACGGGCAAAACATTTTGTGTGTCTATTTGTTTGTGTTTCTCTCTTGTGATGGGACTTTGTGGGATGAACGTTGAGATGTATAAGGGCACAGGGTGATCAATATAAAGGTCTGAATTGGTCTGTAATAGGGCACTGACAAGGGGTTACCAGGTTTGAAGTGTGCACACAAGCATTTATATTTTTTATATTTTTTACATTGTACATGTTTCCTTTTCAGGCAGAGTTATTGACAAACGTGTCGGGTTTTGTTGTTGCTCAGATGTCGCTTGTGCTGTGGTTGCGTTGCCGATACGATATAAATTGTTCACGATAAGACGATTAGGTAAAGTCACGTAGGTAAAAATATATAAAATAAATTAAAATGAAAACAAATAAATTCAATCATAATTTTTTTTTTTACCTACGTGACTTTACCGAAAGAAACAAAGAGTATGGATCGTTGCAGTCACGAAAACTTCAAATCTCGGCGACGCCGATTATCGCGATATAAACCCCCCACGGCGGATTGACGCGGTTGCGTCACCGCTACGGGAGCCGATTCGGGTTCTAATATTAATTTATTTAACGAGTAATCGCGTTTTTTTAATCGCAGAACCGAGGCACCGAAGATTCCACGAGTGGTGTTGGTGCACAAGTGGCAGTGTACGGCTCTGCGAGTTGTAATGATGATTAGCATTACTACTGAAGTTCGTTTATAATCGAACGTTTGTTTGTTAACATAATTTAATTCAGTCGTTCTGTTGGAAAGCGAAGATGACTTTTCTGCCCGCGTGCCACGATGTAAGCCCCATCGACTGCATTGGTCAACGTTGCGTTAGCCGTACTTAACTTTCGTCAGTCAACACGTGTCCGCTTTTAATTGTATCAGGATTAATTACGCTTTCTCTTGTTTATATTCCTGGTAGGATCAGCCACGTGTCTGCTAAGGTGGAGGATGTTTAAGCAATGCACGAGCCAGGTACACAGTAACACACGTAACGCGCATTGTTTGCGAGCACCCATTAATGCTCATCGATGTAAAGCACTGTGATGATAAATGTGTCATTATATCTCCTTTTGCCAGTACCAAAATATAAGAATATGGTTTTTACCCTTTTTTTTCTGGCAACAAAACTGAAACCATTTTACAATTGTTTGTAATCATGAATATATTAACAGAGTGTCTTTTTTGTTTGCATTTTGATGACAAGTATTGTGGTTAATGCAGACATGATTCTTTGTAAAAAGGCTTCAGTTTTGTTGCGAAAAAAAGGGGAAAAAACATTATGTTAAATGTATGTTTGGTTTTGGCCAGCACCGCACACTTATTCATCTGCTGTGTTTACATTGACTTTGGTATATACAGTGTGCAAGTAGCTCTTTTTCACACCACACCAGGTAAACGCATATTTTAGGCTGAACCCACCTAGTTGTGGGACGAGCCAAGTTCAGATACGCACGTGGTGAGAATGGACTTGAACTACAGCCCCGGATTTCGGGGCTGTAGTTCACACCACCACTCCCACACCCAGCCACCATGAACTGTATAAAGCACACAGTCTTTGTGTAATGTATTCATTCATTCCACATTGTGTTTAGTATTGCATCTGATACACAGTACACCATACATTGTGTCTCTACAATATTCTGTTATATATTCTGTGTTGTATGGAGTGCAGCGGTGGTGCAGTGCTTATCAAACTGCAGTGTGAGCTCGGCCACCTCGGTTCAATTCCCAGACAGGGCTAACTAACGCCAGTGGTGAGTGAGATCCGAACCAGTTTTGCGCCCCCAGGGAGTAAAACTAACCCTTAAACCCGCACTGACCTGCCACATTGGGGAGGTATGGTCAAGCAACCCCAAGCCATGGATGGATTCATCCAGCAGTGAATGAGAAATTACTTTAGAATCAAAAACAACGTATTGTATATAGCAGCTTTAATGTCAAGAATGCCTTTGAAAGGGGAATGTAAGGACACGACAACATAAGTCCCTTTGTGGTCAGTAGGGGACATTTCATTGCCGGTCTCAGACAATGCAACATTCAACCAAACAGGCAGCTGCGTGCACACAATAGGAGCCCTTTGAAAGCAAAGATAATGATGGGGGTGGGGGGACTGCTATTAGCACAGCAGTCATTATCTAGGTAAACGGCACAGGTTTATCGTGATGCTGCGTTGGCAATGGTGCACACACACACATAACAAGCACTCTACGCATTCGTCAATAACACGACACAAGCACGCTGCCTTCAAAGGAAAACGATTGGCATTGCATGTTGGTGTGGCCCCTCGTTTAATGGAGGAGAGATGAAGAAGGGTCATTGCCCAAAACGCCACCTATTTTATATTTTCCCCTTCTTATTGCAGGGTCATTGTCTAGGTAGCATTGCACAGATAATAGGAACGTGTAAGAAAGTGGTAAGCTCATGGCTCCACTTTGTGGCGGACAAACTCCCCCAATGCACTTTAGTTTTAGTTGAAAACTGAGATGAAAAAAACATTTGCCAGTTTAACAATTTACTTTCTTGCTTTGGTAAGTGATACATCCCACTTATTTATTTAATTCACTGAGTTTCAAGACGCTGTTTTAAGGATGGTCTTGAATCGGGATGTTTGACCAATACTCTAAATGACTGGCTTCATGTGGGAATAATCCAGAGAAAGCTCACATGTGAGGGAGTGACACAACATCTGGCAAGCCCTGGTGTTCACCTGTTCAAGTACTAACCAGGCTCACACCTGCTTAGCTTCTGGGCACATTCTTGGTGATTTGCTCAGTGGCCTTAGGCTGTTTATTTCAATTAAATTCTTAAAAAAAAATACTTGTCCTGCTTCCCAAGACGAATGCATGGTAAATGAGAAATAGCTCCAATCTGAAATATACTGTAATGGAAATTACAATGCATACATCACAGTGATTGGTCATAAGCAATAGGTTAATCAATTGGTATAAGTTATAAAAAACATTCTGTGATCAGTTAATTGGCAGCCATTTTTAATAGTTGCCTCTGAGCATCCCTTCCTTCAAATGCTGGCAAAATTACTGCAGTGCACGCCCAGCATGGCGCCATGATGATCCCTGCCTGCCTTGTGTGCTTAACAATGCATTGTGAGCCTTGTGTACGGACATTATTTCTTATTTGTGCAAAATAATATGGAACTTGTATCGTGATTTTTTGTTCGTTTAATCGAAGCAATAACCGATAGATGAACAGATGATATCAGGAGTCAATAGCTGCAGTGCACTGATGCCTGTGGTCGCTTAAGAAAAATTAATGCCTATTTTAGAAACCACGAAGTTAGTCAACTTATAAGAATGAAAGTAGAACAATTTGTTATTAAATATGTCTAGTTATTTAGCCTGCCTAATTGAAGCCCAATGAATATTTAATTGTTGGTACGTGAGTTGGGCTACGGTTGCCAGACCACAACTTTCTGGAAGCTGCATTGGTTTAAACGCTGTCATCCAGTGGAGGAAACCAATTCCCGGATCACCCTGAGTGCTCGTGATCTCGGTCAGATCTTGGAGGCTAAGCAGGTGTGAGTCTGGATAGTGTTTGGATAGGAGTCTGCCTGGGAACACGAGGCCTTGTAAAATTGGGCTCTGAAGTGGCCAGAAGATGGCCGCACACAAATGAATTTTGGAATCTATCTATGGGGAGCTGTCGTTATGGTCTCACATGAAGCTAAACACTCGATAGGATTGGACAAACATCTCAATGCAGGACTCATCTGAAAAAGAGTCTCAAGACTCGGTAAGGCTACCCTTGGTAAATAAAGGGCATTACTATTGTGAAGCAATCACTGTCATTATAGTCAAGTTACATCTTCTATTAAACCACCAGTATGTGTGGCCAGAGACTGGAAAACCTCAGGTGGATTTTGTCACCCTGAATTGTAGCCACAGTCCATCACTCTCGGACCCTCTGTTGCTTGTTAATACTTGTATGAAATGGTTTCCCAAAGGAACGATGTACATGTGACAACTTAGCTGCCGTCCGTTATTATTGGGCCTGTCTGGCATAGGATGTGAACTGGTAAACCTTGATACCAGGTGTGTGGCGGTGGTCGCCTGCCTTACATACATTGTGATTGCTTGGGCTTGAAGGACTTTATTGTTCACAAAGTGCTTTTCAAAGAGGGGTTCTGGTTTTGCTGGGTTTAGATTGCATGTCATGTTGAATTATGATTTAGTTTCAGCTGTTGGGCCATATAAATGTGTATGAATCACGTAACTGCTTTATAATGAAATGCTTTTAGTGTGCAGCCTCGTTCAGGATTGAGATAAGAGCTTTGGTATTTTTTTTTATTACCCAACGATGTGCAGCTCTGTTGCAGGATATGGTTTACAGTGTTCTGTCTGGCGTGTAAAACAAATGGAAGCGACTATGGTTAATTGCATAACAAAGTGCCTGATCTGGATTTGTCCTTGGGTATTTTTCTTGGCATAAAATGTACTTGCTCAACAACCGTAAGAGCTGATAAATAACACACGTAATTGTTTAAACGCTTCAAAGCTACACACGTTTCATGAGTTTCATTGTTCTTTTCCTATTCCACACCACTTCTGTTAATCCGTTGGTGCAGGATAGCTGTTCGTGTGGCTTCAACCGTCGCCGATGGTGACACTGGACTCTTTCTCTACCTCCAGTTGTCGTGAAGCCAAGTTGATAGCTATACTGTGTGCATATTGATATATGATTACTACGAGTGACTGGCTCGCTCAGAGGTAAGAGCGCTGAGCTAGCACATCTTAAGAGATCCTGGATTTGTTGGAATCCAGGCAGCCTCCTGTAATTAAACTGGGTTCTTTAGTGTGGTGAGCCTGGTCACCAAAGTTTGTACAAAAATATAATGTTAAATTAAATTCTGGCTAAATTACTGCTCCGAAAAAATAAAAAAAAATTCAGTTTGACTGTCATGCGACGAACATTTATTTGTCGAAGAGCAGGTGGGGAATTCCTGCCCCCTACTCTCTGGGCCAGAGGTCATTTGAGGGATGACAGAGGTAGCTCTGTGGCATCTGCTTCTGTGGGCTGTTAAAAGGGCTGTCCTGCTCCGCAAGAAGTGCGAACTGATTATGAACCTTGTGGCCGGACACCGGTGCTCCGAATAAACGAAAGTCAAAATCGTAATTGATGTATTTTTTTGGCGACTCCGTCCCACCGCACACATAAACGACGCGACCCACCAGAAATCAATCCTCTCGTTCTTCACCAAGCACCCGTCGTTGCCAAAATTTCTGTAGTCATAAACAATTTTGGTTAGCACTATCGTGTAGAGCTCGTCGAGAGGAATAGATTGCCGTATCGTTCGCCTTCGACAGACATAAAGTGACGTCGCAACGGAGTTTATGCGAGAGCCTGGGGGCTTATGGGACCCTGGGGTCCCACCACAAGGTTCAGTTTTGTCCCATGATTTGACACCGACAACACAATCAGGATAAAACTGAGGAAAAATTAAAAAATAAATTAAAGGGCCTTCTGCAGTACCTTTTTGACCATCTGTAAATTATAATGGGAGCATCGTGCTGCTGCCAGACTTAGTTTGAAGTAAAGGCTTTGCAAGCTTATGAGTCATTACATGCCACTGCAATATAAATATGCGTGGCATTATTGTGTGTACTTTGTTCAGAAATGTCTAAATATGTTTTTAATGATCGATTAAGGATTGTGTTATAATGATATCTACCCGAGTATTTGCAAATTAAACACCATTCATATGCCAAGTGAGTTTCCACGTTTTACAATACTGTATTCCTGGGGAACTACATTGTGAAATGTACGACAGTCATCTTCCTTTAGAAACATGTTATTTTTTTAAACATGCAATTAATACATTTTGCACTCTGTCTTGACAAGTCTGTGCAGCCCACAGCGCCGCATGGGAGTGCCTGTTTCGGTGTAAAACAGGAGAGCTTCGGGCTTGTGAGCCTGACATTTCGTCGCCAATTTTCACATGGACGCTTAACGAAAAAATCCACTCGTTTCAAACGAACGAGGGTGGCCAAGCTTGGGGTGTCACTCTCACTCGTCCAATTTTAATTTTCACCAGCTTGGGGGTAGAATTTGATCATTGTTAAAGATTAACAATCTAAAGCTTTCGTGACTGCAGGGATTAATATTCTTGGTTCTTTCTGACTTTACCGAAAGAACCAAGAATATTAAGAATCTACTCTAAGAAAGGGCATCCACACGCGTGTTCCTGGGACAGCCGTGTGTGTGTTAACCACGTCACCGATGATCGCGGTTGCTTGGTGGTGTTCCCTGCAGGGGATTTTGCGTGGGACGTTCTCAGGCGTCGATTAAAAAGCACTTCCCTGTGAAGACTTTTTTTCCAAGGAGTCTCGTTTGCAGTAGTCACTCCTCATAATTCGTGACATTTTGCGTCGCTGCCCACGGCAAAATAGAGACAACCATTTAAGATGAGATATTGTTTCTAGAATCTATTTTTAAAATTCTTAGACATTGATTCTTCAACTCATTAGTCGTCATTGGTTGATTTTGATATGTAGTTGATTAATTGAAAGACGTTTCAATGACTTATAATCCTCAAAAATGAAAGCAAGAAAATCCAAATTGGAAATTCTTCCCAAAAAAGGTTCAGACCTGTGCAGGGTGTGTCCGGGCGTGCTTTGCCTACCACATGACGTATCAAGAACCCGGTTTATCCACACTGTCCCTGCAGCCAAGGCAACAGATCGGGCTCATTGTCTCACTGCGGAGCTGCCGATGGGAACCGGCTCTGGACAAAGCGTGCACAACCTGCCGGGGCGGAGTTCCTTACCACCACCTGCTCGGCGGCACACACGGCAGGGGACCCCCGAGTTCGAGCAGACAGAGACCGCGTTATTCTGTCGCGCCGCTTTCAATGACACCGCCGCAACTTGTGCGGTACTCGACGTTTTTGGGTTTAGATTGCGGGCATTTCCAATCTTGGTTAACAACGGATTAACGCTGTGCGTTTTTTTGATTTTTTTAATCGTTGGGCAAAAATCCTCTTTTAGCCGCGAGACCCTTTGCCGTGGAGAGTGTGTTCAACCTTTTTTTATTTTGAGTTTCTTTTATAAATGGGAAGAAACACAAAAAAACGTGTTTTTTTGTTAATGTCATTTATTCTAATTTAATATTTGAAGAACAATAGCCTTTCGACAGGTGACTGCTCAAGGTCAAATATATTTTTTAAACGTACACAAAAAGCGTGCAGTGAGCGCAGGTGCTGGATATTTAAATTGATTGCTCGGCGCAGCCTTCATCTCTCCGTATGTCCGTCAGCATCACGTCGTACTTTGGTAAGGATCTGTAATTCCACTGAGCCGGCACATCTTGTGCTGCGGTGGTGCCCGTGTACCGTGTGCCCAAGAGAATCTTCCAACCCGGCACCCGGAGTCTGAATCCAGAGCCCACCTGCCGTCCCCAGGTAAATATTGATGTAGCTCTGTACACGCGTGTCCTCGTTCTCTCCGTTAACAGTGAACTAGATGCTCTCAGTGACTGCTGCGTGCGCGTGCTTTACTAGCACGTGGCGATTTTGAAATGCACAACGGTAAGTGTGAAGTGTTTGTCCCAATAACCCAAGGCTTGTATTACTTTAAAGTGTGACCAGTGATTACATATTGCGGATTTTGTATAAATTAATTATTGCGCTCTTCATCGTCATTAAAGTCATGACCATCATCATCATCGAGTCAATTATATCACATTATCTGAATCACGATTATGATCATTCTATCACGGTCATTAATGTCAAAGTCATCATCATCAGAGAAATTTGTACTCGGATGCACATTGTAACAGTCAGGTATGTGCCATGGTTAGCTGTTACAGGTGTTTAGCCCTGACAACAGCAGCCTGCCCCATACGGTGACAGACCGGGTGCGTCGTTGAGTTTGTGAGCTGATGTCTCCGAAGGATTGGATTTTTTTAACCAAATACCCGAGACTGCTCTTCCCTCCCCCTCGCCTGGCACAGACTGTGTGGGTAAGCCGGATGTGTACTTTATGCTCTTCAACTTGCATGCTTAGGAACACTCACCCCGGCCCGCAGCTTAAAAACAACCGGTGAAGGCTGTGGGAGATCATCATTGCTGCTCGGGATAGTTCATCTGCAGTCTTTCCCGCTAATACGACACGTTACACCGAATGTCATGGAGGGGCATTGCTGCAGCTGCTCAGCTGACTCATTTTATATATATTTTTAAAGTTAAATTAATTGACAGATTAAAGCTTGGTCTTAATCAATTGGTGAAAGTGCACCACCTCATGGGGGGCCAGTAGTAACTGTTCTCTCTCATGCCCCCCTCGCCACAGGAATTAGAAACTCCCACTGTGCTTTTTTTTAACTGCTGCCGCAGGTTTTGTCATTGCTATTTTAAATTAGGCTGTCGTCCACTATTAATGGGGATTCGACTTACCGTAGCCTTCGTTCGTCTTGAAAGCATTCCGCACGGATCTGCTATTTATATTTTGTTTTCTCATCCTGGATACAAACCCCCGTAGTCTTAGATGCAGCGCATGGTTTCTTGTTGTGTGCCATTAAGAATGAACTGGAGATTGGGAGAATGTGTTCCTTCGTTCCCGACGCCTCGCGAACGTGGAATCATTTGGTGTCTCTCTTGTAGCGCACATCCGTTCCCTCTTGGTCTTCAATGATAAACTGGATTAATTACCAAAAATCCGTGATAGGAATTTGCCTTTGATGTTGTACCTCGTTTTTCACGTTATGTAATTCGTGTTATTTTCTTTCACACATCTAGCTTTCATTTCCTTTTATTTATACAGTAATACAGTTACACTTGATTTTCTTGTTGTACAATTTACTTTTTCGTACTGGTATTACCCTTTGGAGAGCCAGGTCTCGTTTGAATAACAGACCTTTTATTCTAAAATGGGTGGTTACTTGGTTGAAATAAAGGTTGACTGACTGCACAGCCTAGATTTATGTTTTCATGTTCACGTGATAATTTCACTTCTCTACCATGTGAGAATGCACAGCACGCACTCACAGGATGAGACACTCGCGCATGCGTCTGCACTGTCATGAGCATGGAGGTGCAGCTGCCTGCCAGGGAGACATGCAGGGAGCGGTGGAGGAGGACGGGGAAGAATAGGGTGGGGTGAGGGCCTTGGGGGCGGAGAGGATTCTCTTTGAGGAGGAGGGGCACGTGGGGAGAATGGTGGGGAGGGGGGGTCTGATACAACGCAAGCAGAGCTCCTCCTTGCAGACCCAGAGCTGCACGCATGCACAGACACCCGATTGTTCATTGAGGACTGAAGGTCAGCCTTGTGTGTGTCCCCTCAGGTCACAGCAGCAGAACGAGTGTCCCTTGGCCGGCGTGGACCATTGAAGCCGTGCACAGGTAAGAGCTACTCCGCCAGATCTATGGGGGCTGTAATAATTAAGATGTTACGACTGCGTGTGGGCGTCTTACACAAGGCTGGGAAAAGGACACAACGTGAATGAACAGACATCTGCTCGCAATTAAACCACGCTACAAGAAGTGCGCAGCGGACGAGGCGACTGCAGCTGCTGCTGCCGTCCTCCGATGCCTCTCGAGGGAGTCTGGTTGTAGCAAAGCTTTGAATTAATGTACAAGGTTTATTCATGCAAACGTCTGCAGGGTAAAATGCCAAGCGGTGAGATTTACTGCTCCCACTGATTTTTTTTAAATCAGTGCTGTGGAAGGTGCGTCATGCATTTACCTTTTGTCACTTAACATTTTTTGGAACAATTGTGTCTAAAGATAAAATTCATGGATCGTTCTTGAAAAACAGTAACATAATGTGAGTCTTCGTCTGCTTTATTTAAAGGAACAGAGCTAAACTAGTTATGTTGGTAAGTGTTATAAAATATATGGTTCGTCGCTGAGTCACAACAGCGCAAAGTTGCTCTTGTTAGATTACTCGGTGTGTGGATTGCGCAATTTGATTGTTTGGGCTGTTCTTGAGAACCACACAATATAACCTTACGCGGTGCTCGCTGTACTGTATGTGTAGCCTGATTGGAGGCGGCAAGGTCATTGTGTGAATTTAATGTGCTCGGCATGCATTGATCGGGCTTCGGTGGCCGTAGCTAAGGTATGGATTAATTTTTTTGCTTACTGTTGATGCTCTGTCCTGTTTAATTAATACAGGCTTGTTCACATGACATGACATTGTTTAATAAAACCTGACAATCACAACAATTCCACAAAATTGGAATGGTGTTATTATTACGTGTTGTTACTAAATTAGGTATTTACGCTGGAAAGCCTTATAGAGTATTAAGAGAAATTTTTCGTCTGGGTTCTATGTTGGATGATTGGCCAACTCCACTCTAAATTTCATATAGGTGGAAACCACAGAGTTTCCAGAGCAAACCATATTATAAGATTAGAAAACGCTAAAAAAAACCTTAATAATTTTGCTGTACTACCACCGTCCCTTAACCATCTTGAGGCCCAGCAGAGTGGGAGTTTCACAGCACAAAAAAAAAACTCTTTGCAAGATCCACCAACCTCCACAGCGCTGCGTTAAGGATTGTCCCCTGCATTGTAGGAGCTTGGGCTTGCGAGCGGACATGACGGACTGTCATTTGTCTGACATTGAGAATCATGGTTAGCTTAAGGCATCGCTGCATGGTCAGGACGATGAATTGTGAATGTTGTTAGTGTCGTCTTTTTGCTGCTTTTGTTGCAGGAAGGCTACAATGGTTTTGCGTTGCTGACTGCACCACCTGGGCCTTGGTACTCTCCCGTATATCCTACATTTTTTTATGGATGCCAACTTCTGATTGGTCCATGACCATGGCGTGAACTGTAAGGCTACAACATATACGCAAATATTTAGTGTTTTGCATTCTGATTAGTGCATACAACATCAACAAATAAACACCAATGCATGTAAAATAATCTCCAGCCTGTACCACTTTTCTGTCTGATGAGTTTTTCATCAAATGAACCTCATGGCGGGACTGTGGGGTCGCTTAAGCCCCCGGCTCTTGCATAAACTGTGTTGCGACGTCATTTTATGTCTGTTGACGGCGAACCATACGGCAATCTATTCCTCTCGACGAGCTCTAAATGATGTGCTAGTCAAAGTTTTGTTTATGACTACGGCAATTTTGGCAACGACAGGTGCTTGGTGAAGAACGAGAGGATTGATTTTGACTTCCGATTATTCGGGACCCTGGGATCCCGCCATAAGGTTCATAATCGGTTCACACTTCTTGCATAGCAGTAAAGCTCCTGTAAATCATCTTTAAATCAAATATGCAGTACTAAGCATATACAAATAAAAGTGTTGACATGTTTACCCAGGAGAGCATCACCAAGGCTGCGCTTTGCGTGATATTGTTTTAAATGTCGGAAAACACAAACGTGCTGGAGTAAAGCCTTGAATATAATTTGGTGAAAAAACAGTGGCTTATAATTTAAAAACTGGATACTGAGATAACCCAGTGGACTTTATCCCACGTGATAATGATGCATGCACACCTGGGAGGGATTTTAATTAGAGGACAATGCTGAAAGCGTTAGATGGGTGTCATGCACATTTAATTGCTGGTATGTCATTGGTGCTCGTCATGATGGTATAAGTGTGGAGGAGAACATACAGGGATAAAATAGATTTACAAACAGACGAACATTTCTATTGTGATGTTGCAATGTTTCATCATAGTGTACTTAAGATATCAGGATTGTGTACAAACTAAGTAATGTGTGTAACCTTTGTGAAAATGGCTTTGCGTGGATCTCTGTGTTTAGCAAGGTTCGAATGAGGTATGAGAAGTCGTTTGTGATTTGTAGCGCAGACAGGAGGCAACATGGAATTTGCACGTAAATGTTAGATCGGTGATGTACCTCCACGACGACGATGCAGGTGTGGAGGTGGCCATTGTATTGTGAGAGATTAGCATGTCAATGTAAACGAACCACCTCTAGCCCCGCCCACTTACCCTTGGGCTGATCTCATCTCAAGCCTATATAACTTCGTGTTTCAGCAGCTCTCCCGCTGTATTTTCTCCTGTCTCAGCAGCTCTCTCACTATATTTTTTCACATGATAACGATTGCTTGTGTTGCGATCGAAACGTCGTGCTAATTTTATTATTTTTCTATCTACGTGGCTTTACCGAAAGACCCAAAGAATATGAATGGATTCTATTCAGTGCATTGTATCCACTATATAGTACTATAATATTCATTGCGAGCATTGGGACTGCACATAGACCACGTTTTTTACTGTCCCCATGGATTTGGAGCATCTCATGTGCACGTGCTCTGAATTCTAAACCTTTATTCTTAACACATTTTAACACTTCCCCACACCAGTTTGTTCTTGAATTATTGCTTTAAAGACCAAATAATAGTACGACCAGCCACCCTTGTATTTTTAAACATTTGGAAATGAGAGACAGCCTTGATACAAAACACAGTTCACCTGGCCATCTCCGCAGTGACTGCTGCGGCTCAGTGAGTGGGATTTCTACAGTGTAAGTGTTAAATCATCTCATCAGGAATCCCAATGCCCCTGTTTGAAGGTGGGAATTGATTGGCCCTATATTACACTATGGAGACGAGCTTTGGGACAAAACATGTAATCAGTGGAGCTGCGTTACAGGATTTTGTTCGGCATAAGTATAGGCTCGCCCAGCCACTCGGTGATTCATATTCATGGGTTGGGTTAGGCTTGGGGGTATTATTGATAGCATCACACTTTAGGCCAAACAGCATGCCAGGCTGATTATATTATTCAAATTTTCAAATATATTTTCGAAAATGCATCGGCGTGTTTTGTAAAATACATGCCAACGATTTCACAACTGAGGCCTTATTTATTATGAATTCATGGATGCAAGTTTAAATCTGCTGTCTGGTTTATTTTATATTTATTATTATCCCTGGTCTCCATTCTTAAAATAACACGTCCCAGTGAGTGCTTACCTGATTATAAATAGTGATAATGTCATTTAGTTAACCAGGAATTCTCACTAAGTATCAAGACAATTTTTTTTCAGCAAAGATCTGCATTTCGTAATTTGACTATTTCTGTTGTAAGACGCGATTGCCTGAAGTACACTGGAGAAAACACACGCACACATACGAGGGGATAACATTCAAACGTCGGTATATTTGGGTTCACGAACCTACCTGTCATATGGCCATCACCTGTCTAGCTCACAGGCCAGCAACTTTTTTCAGATCGACAAAACTGATGGTCCACTAAGAACTAATATAAAAAAGCTAGTGTACAGACATGCACCACCATGTCCTGCATTGCATCCTGCATGCAAATAGTCAAACTGTTTTAAACACTTTCCAACGAAGGTTGAAAGCGTTTCTGCATTTTCTGTGTCCATTCGTCCGTAATGATCTCTGAGATGATTAAATGTGAACAAACGTGTGTATTATTAAGGTTTGTAGCTCATATGGAAAACCAGCCAAATAGTTCAAAGGGTTTCTCAAAACGAATGAATTTTACCTTGAAAGCCACCTGTCGGCATCGATATTGCAAATTAAAAATGTTTAATGTTAGAAAGCGTTAAGTAATCCACGCGGACGCATGGATTTTGCTAACTTGTTTAGTTTCTGTTGCTGTTGCTTTGAGGGCGGTTGACGGGAGGAGAGTGCCACCATGGAGTTGGCAGAGGCTGGGCGCCTGGAGCGTGCCCATGTGCACGCCATCTACGCGCAGATTGCGCCGTCGTTTGACGACGCGCGCTATGGAGCTTGGCCGCGTGTGCGCCACTTCCTGCAGGGACAGCCGCCCGGGAGCGTCATCGTCGACGTTGGTGAGCGCTCGCGCCACGATACGTTGCGATGCATTACGATGTGATGCGGCGCAGTGTAGAGAAATTTAGTGCTCGCAATCACGCATCCAACAACGAAGGCTTTCTGTTTAGACGCGCGCTCTCTGCTGCAACCAAGGCAAGAACTTCGAGGCTTTCTGTCGAAGCCCACCAGTCCCACTAAGTGGGAGATTGTTCATTGTCCTCTGCTGCCCCCATAGTCTGGAACTCCCCACAGCCATCCATGGTGTTGACTCCCTGCCCCTGTTTAAGTCCAGGCCTGAGACCTTTCTATCTTCCTTTTCCTTATGATTAACTGTATATTTCTGTAAAATTAATATGCCAACTGTTTTATTTCAGTGTCATGGGATACAATCACATTTAATGCCACATAAATCTAATTCGGATTTTATTTACAAATTTCTGTTACGATCACATGCACAATGAAATAGGCGCACACAACATGACAACGAACTCAGATTAAAATAATGTACATATCTAGCTATTAAAATCTATTCTTAAATTCACAATAGACAATGCATGTAAGTATCAGTTATTTATTATCCATGCAGATTATTTGCAAACTATTGTTTTATGTTACATTTGAGTCATGGACGAACAAAACTGTATAATCCAGGCAAAAAATAAGAAACCGCTAAAATGAGACAAAAATAATTGGATTCTGTATTGATTCATGACCCCAATTAGTGCGATTCATAGAATCTCTACGGGGGGGGGGGGGGGGGGGGTGAATCATTAAATGCCTAACAAGCACACAGCACAACAACAAAATATTCCGTCCAAGATTTTGCTGTTCCATGGTTAGTCGTGACAAATCTCAAATAAATCACAGTTTTTTGTAAATACTCTTGTAATAGAACGATATAAAATACGCTAGGTTGTTTGGGGGGCGTCTGTCCCTGTGACTTGTTGATTGCGATGGCGTATACGGGGAGAATGGTAAATTATCGTCGTCGCAAAACAAAAGGCAAAGTCAACACCGAATCGCCTCGTTCTCCCTCTCAAGCGTTCATCATGTTCATCACAGATAGATACAGTTGGGCGTTTATATTATTAAGTGGCCATCGTTCAGAGAAGAGAGAGGGAAAAGAGTTTAACATTGACTTAGAGGTGGAGATTTTCGTGCCTAGCTAGCTCAGTGCTCTGACCTCTGAGCCACCCAGCCCAGCATGTTCACACATTGAGGAAAGTTGACTATTATAGCTAGCCTGTTATATATTTGTCTTTTATAACAATTTGGAAATATGTAGAAATATGGACTGGACTCATAAGAGTGTGCAATGTCAAATGTTCTTACTTAACTTTTCCTCCATCCATTGGCTTCAATGGCATTGTTCATTTTGCACATCTGTCATCTGATGTCCTAGCTTGCTGCCCTGCCCGGCTCCTTTTAAGTTGTTTTCTATTCCCCACAATCCACCAATACAGCGTATATTAAACTTGTACGTAAATGTATTCGGAAGAGGAACGTGATTTTCTATTGCTAGCTCAACATCTCTAAAGGAAACATGAACTCCTACACGGCACGTGTTTTGAACACGGGGACACTGTGACCTTGGCACTTACTACTCATACACGCATACAATGCACAAACGTGCACGCACCACACAGATGCACACACGTGCAGGTGCGCGTAGTAATTCGCACTCTCCCGTTCCCCAGGCTGCGGCAATGGAAAGTACCTGGCACTGAACTGGGCAGGCGTTCACACTGGGCTGCGACTACTGCCTGCCACTGGTCCAGGCTTCCCGTGCCAAAGGTCACGAGGTGATGGTGTCGGACAACCTGCGTCTGCCACTACGAGACGGCTGTGCTGACGCTGTCATCTCCATCGCAGGTTTGTCTATCCCATTCCTGGTCTGCTCGCCGCCGGTGTTGATGTACGAATAGTAAATCACTCAACCTTCATCGTCAGTGGCCATGTTCAATCTACTCCTGGGTGAAGGCCTCACAAAGCCATCACCAACTCCCACAGTCTCGGGATGCCTCAATCCATCTTGCTGCTGATCTTGTTGCTCCCATCTATGTCATGGTCATCTACACGCATATGTTCCCTATTTTGGCTACCGTTCCTTCATCAGTCTAATTCACGAGCCACCATCCCTTAGAGCGATGTGTCATGCCTAAGCCAACTTTCATTCACAGTGAATACGGAATCTCTGATGTTTTTATAAAATCTTATCCGTTTGTTCCTCTTTCTTTCTCTGTAATATCTTTTACATGCATTCTCTCCATGTTTCTTTGTGTACATTTTGTTTTGCGTTCCACGTTTCTTGTCAGAATCACGTTTTGCAATCCATGTTATAACAGGCACTAACTAGGCCCTGCTTTTGCAAGCTTTCCTCTTTAGACACACTGGTATGTTTATGTTTATTTTATTTTCAAATTTTTTTTTTCCAAAAACACCCCAACCTACACTCTCTTACCTATTTATTTAATCAATGATCCCAGGCCACCTTCAATATGTTCCCTGTCTATATATACTCTGTTGTCTTTTTCAGATTTGGACTTCAAACATGTAGTGTGTTTTCTTTTGCTCGGGGAACTTGATGTTTGCGACTTTTGTTTAACTCGTATAGCTCATCTTTGCAGTATGCTTTGTTAAATCCTTGCATAATTTCCCGTCGTTAATTTTCATCGGTTGTTAAAATGACTAGCTGAAGCAAAATGACTTTAAAATAACCTTTGGGCTTCTTCCAGATGTACATTTTCTCGGAGTGTTTCATTATTAATCTCTTCAACCTCAGACCAGGTTCAACATCACTTGGTTTCGTTATCAAAGAATGGCTGTCATCGCTATGCCATAGAAGTTGTGCTGCTGGGTGTACTGGTGTCGTGGAGAGGGTTGGGCTTGGCGCGTAACTATAATCCATTGCCTTTTGAGGCACGGTTGGCAATCTGTGCTTATATGATCACTGGTTCATAAAGCCTGTATTTGCCAGGCAATCATTAACCTGGTAATATTTTTTAACAATTTTTATCTAACAACTACTTTTAAAAAAATGTTTGCGCAAAAAAAAACTAATTGACAACTTGATTCAACTTCTTATATTTAAAGACGTACCCATCATCGGAAACCACTCAATTTAAAGATTTTCTTTTTTATTAGAAAGAACAAACATTTATTCATATATTTGGTAACAAATAGTGCACAAATGCAGGACCTAACTTGTGTTTTTTAATTAACGTTTTCTTATACTTTCCTGGATGATACATTCAACATGTCATTATTAATCTCATTGTATAGCTGAATAGACGAATTAACAAATTACGTTATTATTGTTGTTGGTGATGTTGCTGCTGACAGTGCTGCACCACTTCTGTACGAAGTCGCGGCGTGTTCGTGCCCTGCGCGAGATGTCACGCACCCTCCGCCCCGGTGGACGCATCATGGTCTACGTGTGGGCCATGGAGCAGACTCGGCGGCGCTTCAACAAGCAGGACATCTTTATCCCCTGGCACCCGTCCGCTCCACTTGGCGTTTCCACCGTCGACGTACACGGCAAGCGACCGCCCCCACGGCAAAGCTCCCTGACGGCATCGTCTCCACGGCTCTTGGCAGGACACGCGATGAGAGATGGTGACGGTTGCCGTCGGTCGAGCGAGGATTTGTCCAACGTCCAATTTTACAAATCTGCAAGGAGGTTCTCGGAAAATGATGTTGGGCGACGTGATGCAGAGGAGTCTAGCTACTGTGAAAATGGAGGTGTTGATATGAGGAGGTACATCTGCAACAAAATTGCCTCTTCGAACAGTGATTTTACCTGGGGCGGTTCCTCGCCTACGCCTCACCAAAGCAGGGAACCGACCAAACATGCATCTCTAGTGAATGGCAGCCCCGACCACGGCAACCGGTGCAGGAGCTCGTGTTGTGGTAGCCGTGGAAGTAGCTCTTCTTCTGTCGGAGACCTGGGTGTGAAGCGCTCCAGTGGTGGAGACCTCCACATGGGAAACAGAAGTGATTCGTGTTGCATCGACGATAGGTCCAGCTCGAGCCGCCTCTACACAGCTTTGGAGAAGACTTTCGCATCTCTCTTCTTTTCCCGGTCGCTGGATGAGTCGCTGTCCAGGAGTGCTAATCATCATCCAGGGTCATCTGGGTCAGCTACCCGCCCGAGCGCAGAGCCCACAAGGCACCGAAGTCTTGAGCACAACAATTGTGGGTTTTTCCAGCCAAGCCATCTGCCAAGCACCCAAAATTCTAGCAAAGAGGGACTGGATGATCTAGACCAAGATCCTGCCACTGAACAGATGCGAATAACGGAGAGCTCAGACGAAGAGGATGATGTATTTTTACGCCTGCGCGGAATGGACGTGAGTGTCGGCGATCGTACAGGCTTCTTACCTGCACGGAGAGCATTGGGATCACACGAGGAGGTCTCTCGCTTCGTGGAGGTCCTTGCCAGTACGTCGCGCTCCAAGGTCTGCCTTCCAGATCTTGTAGAAGCGCCGCGTCGGAGTTGCACGCTCGCGGGACGGGGGATGACACAGATCACCAAGAAGCCCTTAGAAAGTCATTCTGCTGGCCTCCGGTTTTCTTTAAAAGAGGGTGACAGCGACAGCCATGTGCGGAATGACTCTGAGTTATTTAATGGTACTGCCAGAAGCTGTGAATGGGGCCGTCCAGAGAGCCCGGACGTAACCGAGAACGGGGAGCATTTGACAAATGGCACCAAGGAAGACTTTGGTAATGATGATGCTGATGGCGATTGTGATGGGGAAGGTGATGGCGATGGCGGCGGGGCAGAGGGAGGAGAAACACCGGAAGAACCCCGTTGGCTGCGCTACTACCATGTGTTTCGCGAGGGAGAGCTGGCTCAGATGATTGAGCGGCACGTAGCGGGGTTGCGAGTTGTGTGCACCTACTATGATCATGCAAACTGGTGCGTCATCGCCCAGAAGGAGGGGGGAGATGACACCTATGTCCAGCCCAATACGGTGCCCTCCGCTCATTCTGACGCCCGTCCCAATGGAGCACCAAATACCCATTCCAATACTCGCCCTTCTCCCAGTACCCCTCCCGATCTGCATTTCAGCACCCATTCCAACACACATTTCGCTACCCATTGCCACGCCCACTCTCACACCTATCCAAACACCCATCCCAACACTGCATAAATATAATCCTGCATTTATTATACTTAGACTTCACTTCCTCCTGCCTTCACTATGGCTCGGTTTTTAATTTTCACACATCGGATTCATGCAAGGTGTGGTGACTTAACTTGAATTTTACCGAGGAAGGTAGGGAACCTACACTGCAGGGTTGCACAAGGAATGCTGTGTAAAACTTGCAGCAGGGTTACGGTACAAAACTCCAGTCGTCGGAATCGCTCGTTCTAATCTCAGAACTCAGTGGGCCTGGTCAGCGTTTATTTTGGTTATTTCCAAAGGGGTTCTGCTTTGCTCCGAGTGTACTTACTGACCAGGTGGGTGCTGCAGCTGTTCTATCAGCCGTCTGCACACCCTGTGCCAGGATACCTTGGCGAACGGCGGTGTTATCCTGGACAAGCATTGCAGGCAGGTAGTCATATTCTAATGGTACTCATGAGCAAAAGACCAACATCACCTAAAGCGGGCAGGCTGTAGCAAATTCATGCTTGAATCGGTCGCTAAACATATGACAATGACTCGCTGCATTGTTGTCGGCCCATGAAGTAAATTAACGTGGCAGCCGCAATCATGAATGACATATTTTCAGCAGGGGGCGCCTTTTATCTGAATGTTTGACTGTGGCCTCAACGAATGCATACTGTTTTGCAAAATGTATCACAGGGAAAAGACCAAAGCGAGTTTTCAGTGGAAATTTAAATGCAGCATTGTCCAGATTAGTTCCTGGTGGTTTCGTGTCTGGTTGAGCCCCTGGGTCGTTATTCATTAAATCTTTGTTTTAAGATCAATGACCAAACCCACCTTGCGATGAATGAGGAAATTAAATTCCACTGATCTGCCTAGGGTTGTCAAAATTGAGGGCCTTACAATATATACTGCCTGGGAGTAACGATGATAGAAAATATTTTCATTCGAAAATCAGCTCGCATTGTGAAATGTCGAGAAAAATGTCGAAGGTTAGATCATTAAGCAATACTGTAAATGTATTTAAATCTAGACACAACCTGAATTATTGTCAATAACTGGTGAAATCCAGTATAAGCAAACGAATGGCCCGTTTTGTATGTCTATTCAGCCACCTATAATAATTTACTTTCTAAATATGCAAATAGTACATTCCTATGGTCCCAAGTGCTTTCATAGCAATAGTGATTTACACTGATTTGATTGTGAGATGTCGTGAGTTTAAGCGCACTGTAATTTATTTATGTTTCTGTTTTAAATTATGCTGATGAAACGTATTTGTGCCATCTTGGTTAGATTTTAGAGTGTGTGCCTTTTTGCAGTATTACAAGTAATTTTATCTCTGTGTTCTAAATTATTGTTTTGATTGAATAAAGATGCTATTGTTGAATTTAATACGTGCCTGAATTAAATCACCCAATGGAGTTAAGTGTGATGCGGTGTTGTAAAGTGTATACACATACATGATCGTATGTGGATATTGCACATTTAGAACACCAACAATTTACATAGGTGGAATTCATTCTGTGATTAAGCGTCGTTCTCTGGTGTAGTGAGTTAATGTCCTCAGCCCAGTCACCAATGACAAAAAATGGCATGTGGTTTTACTTAATTCTGTATATTTTCAGGCTCTGAAGATGTATTTTCGTGCATTGCCATGAAGTGAACACGTGTAAATGAGGGCATGTGAGAAGGTACACGGGGTTATCACTTTTTCCACAGACCAAACCCCGAAATATATCTCAGTCAGCTTGGGTCTATCAATAATACTGTGCAGTGTACTATTTACTACTATAATGAGCCAAGAATGTATGTGTCCCGCGCGTGACGTCACTCCACGTCGACCAGCCCCCCTCGTTAATAATCATGAACAGATTTTGACTTAACTTTCGTGACTGCAGGAATTCATATTCTTTGGTTCTTTCGATAAAGTTACGTAGATAGAAAAATACAAAAAAAGTGAATAAAAATAATAAGAATAATACTGTAGCCTGCTTCTTAATCGGAGTGTACTGGCAGTCTATAATGTAGACTGTAGCCTGATTATTAAGTTTGGTGAGTGTACTGGCAGTCTATAATGTAGACTGTAGCCTGGTTCTTAACCTCGGTGAGTGTAGTGGCAGTTTATAATGTAGACTGTAGCCTGAAAAATAAAAAAAAATAAAAAGAACAAAAAGCCACGACGTTTTGATCGCAACACAATCGCTTGTCAGGAAAAAAGAGGGGTTAGCCTCTAAAGGCAAACTGTTTATAAAGGTTTAGAGATGGACGGAGCCCACGTGTATCAGCAGCATGGGCAGGGGCAGCTGATGTTAATGTAGCCCACGTGTATCAGCAGCATGGGCAGCTAATGTTAATGTGGGAGGAAACAACGACACCGCCAGTGGGTCGACACCAATCAAAGGGCCGCCAGGTAATCATTGCACCTTGCTCCACACACCCACACTGCTGACGGTGGAGGTTGACAAGAATACACAAGTAAAGTCATGACCCAAAGTGGTTGATGACATCTTTCCAATGATTGCTGAGTTTATAACCATCCTCTCGGGTTGAAATTGTGTCTGTATATATGGATGGCTTCATGAACGAATCTTTGTTGATGGCCAGTAGGCTTGCAAAGTACCTTCGTCTTGCAGAAGACGGCCGCTTGCGTTGCGATCAAAACTTCGTAGTTTTCTGTTATTTTTTTAATGATTTTCATTGAACCTATCTATGTGAGCTCACCGAAAGACCCAAGAATAAGGACGTCATGATGAACAATGGATTATAACCTTAAAATGAAATAAGTCTGTGTCACCGCGGCCTTACAAATTGCACACGAATGGATGCAATGCATATCACGTGGCGGTCTGCTTTTTGCTTGCAAGTTTCAGATTTACTGCAATACACCCGTCCTTGGACGGGCAAAAGGCTCGTACTTGAATAAAGTTCAACACAATAACGGTGCCACCCGGACACATTCTAATGACTGGACTCTCTGGGTCCAGGCGAAAACCCTACTACTCTACACCATCACCTTGTGTAGATAAGTAATTCAAAGGACCTCGGAATGATTTCTGCGCTAACCTGAAGAGGCCATACTCTAACATTGGGTGATGTTGCACTGCTTTGTTGGAGTTCAGAATGGAAATTCCATCATCTCATTACATGAACCCATTATGCACAATTGGAATACAGTCCAGTTTCCTATAGCGTAATTGTGTAAAAACAATGCTGTGCTGGAACGGTCATACGATCACTATACTCCAATAGGATAAAAGAGAACCACTACATTTAATATGGATACCATATTTTTTTGTTGATTAATTTTTTTTAATGATTCCACCTTTATCAAGACGAAAGCCAAAATATTTTATCTTCGACACGGAAAAACTGGGAGCCTGTAGCAAAAGACAATGTTGGGTATTCTTTAATAAACAAATAATGCAAGTGCTGCTGTAATCAATAACTTGGGAATTTGGGGCAAGGAACATTATGGTCAACCCCTGAGAATGTTGACGTCTCTGGGACCCTTGTGATTCATCACCGGCTATAAAAACGTGTTTACATTTAAGGGTTATGTCCACAATCACGTGGTAATGCGCTGGCTGGAATGCTTTAATCTTGCGCAAGAAGCATCAGTCACACAGTCATTGCGGTGAAACACAAGAATCACACCGCCGACTGTCCGGCCACGTGGAAACCAGTGAAGATGCTGTATATTAAGTTTGACTCCCAGACCAGTGAGTATTACTAACCTTGCATTGTCTGAACTTCCAAGAGTGGACACTATTTACGTGAAATTCAAAGCGTATTTGTGTACACTACTGTGGAATATGCATTGTATGTGGCTCATGTAAAGGGACTTGAGAGTGTAGGACACATACTGCACTGGCATTTGTTACGCAGTGTTGGGATACATGGCAAGGCAGTATTTCGAGATCATATGTTGTCTAATCCGTGTGTTCATCTTCCTAAGTCACGCATCTGTCCATCATTCTCTCTTGCTCACTCTCCAGCTTTTGAATCATCTTCAGCGCCAGCGTACAGACACGTTCAATGATCCATGTAGCAGCAGGCAATACTCACCGATTTTAATCTCCTCTGGGCACATTGCGTTGTTAGCATTCATTATCCAAAAGTTGCCTCTACATACTTTGTCAGCATTTCATCCCCTTTCCTCCTTCAGTAGCTGTCCAAGGTACATAGGCGCTGTTGTCTTTCCCAGTGGTGTTCCTCCGACTGCTGTAAGGTATTATAATAGGTTACATATTTCTGTACGACTACTACTTATAGATAACCATTGTTAGATATTGTAACATGGCCGTTAGACAATCCCATTCGTATGACTCTTTGGTTCTTTGGGTAAAGTCACGTAGATGGAAAATTCATAGATCACGACGTTTCGATCGCAACACAAGCAACCGTCATCAGATGAGACAAACACAGCAGGAGAACTGCTGACGCACGTTTTTTATTCGTATTCTTAATGCAATTAGAGCGTGGGAGTGGTGGCGCAATAGTTATCGCACTGCACTATGAACTTTGCCGACTTTGATACCCGCCCACGGCTAACATCAGTGGCGAAAATTGTTATCTGAACAGTTTCCTGGCCACCGCCCTCCTCCACCAGCCCGCAATGACCATCGTGGTGAAGTATGATCGAACAACCGTTGAGACCGACACGCGTGGGGGAGAGAGTTCATTTAGCTGTGGATTTACAAAAGCTGTGAATTAATCAGTCCTAAAACTAGAAAGATTGTATGATGTGCTATGGTTTATGGTGAAGGGAGTGAGTTGAGAAATACGAAGGCACTCGTCATCAGTCATCATCTATCCACTGCTGAATGAAGGCCTCTCCACGCTGGCCAGTGCGGATTGGTGAGGACGGGGAGCAAAGACGAGGGAGCATAGAAGCACAATACAGTACTGTACAACAATGGGGTTTGCAACACTGCCCTCTGCTGCCTACTACAACATGGCGTACATGACCCTACAGCCGCCGATGAAAACCTGGCCCGCTTGCTGGTCAACCCGTCAATAACCAAATCAGGCTTAAACCTGCTTAGCTTCCGAGCCTGTCCACGTGAGTTGGTCATTGAGATCGATGTTTAAAAAATAACATTAGGTTTTACCATTTATGGGAATAAAAAGGGTGCTAAGATGTTCATACAATAAATAGATACCTTTTGCAAGGCATTAAGTCTGCATTAATCACAAATACTTGTGGCAAAACGCAAACCAACATGCTCTGATGATATATGCAGTCTTTCAGTTTTTCATTTATTTGGTATGGTCCTGTGAGCCATTCGACTCTTGAATCGGGTGCAATCGTAACAAACAAAAACATGAACAAGTTTAAAACTGATTGGCCTACACCAGAGGCAGCCTTGTTCTTTATGGCCTTGCCTCACCACCGGTGTTAGACCAGAGAACGCCAAAAGGCGAACAGCACAAAGACAATGCAAGTATCAGAACCTACCATGGGACTTTTTTTGCCAGTAACAAAGTATGAAAAATAAGAATAAGTGTTACCCTTTCTGGCAATAAAACAGGAGGTGTTAAGATGTTAAAACACCAAATAGTTACCTTTTGCAAGGAATCAAGTCTGCATTAAGCACACGTTTGCATGTTCAACACAAGTACTTGTGGTTAATGCAGACTTGATTCTTCGCAAAAGGTAACTATTTGGTGTTTGGACATCTTAACACCTGTTTTATTGTCAGAAAGGGTAAAACCTATTCTTATTTTTCATTTTAGAACACTTATAGCTCGGGTCGATGTTTAATCGTTAGTCATTTCACAATGCATTGGTGGATCGATTCATCCGGTAAATTTGATTTGTATGATAAAAAAATACTTTCATAGCTCCTTCATACGTGTACCAACTGACTACCTGCATTTTTGATTATTGTACGAATATTGGTGAACATAAACTAATTAGTGAACGATAGACATGCACTATAGTGACACAATAATAATCTGGAATCAAATGGCTGTTAACCAGTGTAGAGGTTATAAATAATGGGAGGGATAAATATATCTAATATCTGGCAGGTTCAACTGGGTTACAGGGACTCCTCTACTTATGAATATTGGACTTACGAACTATTAGAGATACGAACAAACCTGTGCGTATGTCCAGTTGCCTGTTCGGACCGAGAGTCGTAATTCCAACCGCCACGCAATAGATGGCGGTAGTGGCATCTACATCTGCAGAACGCGAAGAACCAGTGGCATCTTCATCTACAGATTATGAAGAACCAAACCTGTGGCATCTACAGAACATTAAGAACCAGTGGCACCTACATCTACCGAACATGAAGAACCAGTGGCATCTACATCTACAGGAGATTGAACAACTTTTAAAGCCATTCCCCGTGTTTAGTGTACATGCCGTTCAACATGTTTGGAAT